GTATCAGATTTGGAGAAAGTTGAAGTGTTGCGGGTAGAATTACCAGAATATGGTGGTGTGGTGATACATGGGTGGTTTGTGAATCCGATAAAATGAACACTACAGGTTCTCAGAGGAGCTCCCGTGTCCAAAGAGGGTGTTATATGGAAACTAGAGGTGGAAATACAACTTTTGGTGTTATGATTGGTGCGCTAGGGCTACTTTTTGGAGAGTTGTGTGACAAAGTTTGAAACCCGTGAAAGTGGATTTGGAATGTTTGTTGAGTTGAATTTCCACAACTTTGGTGGTGTTTGGAGATGATTATGGGTTTCCAGGAAAGTCAAGAAGCCAAAGTTTTTAGTTCTGGTGTCTTTTTGTTGATCTGTGGTGGTTTGGAGTTGTGGAACCCCAAGGAAGTGAGAAACATGGTGTTTTTCAGGCGGTCGGGTCCTATAAACAGTGAGATATATTGTCAACCAGAGCACTTGAGAGGAAACAAACAAGTTCATGTATCATGGTTCAGAATACCCTTATTTAACACCACCTGTCCCTCCAACTATCATAACTTGGTTAACTGATTCAAAGGGATTTGTTGCTATTGGTGAAACGTTTCAAGTAAAGGCAGCCGAAAAGGGTCACATATTTTCAATAGGTGATGTTACAGAATTTGACTATAGAGGGTTAGTATTCAGAAGACATTGGCTGAATGCGTGAATAATTTCAAGCTAGTTCTTCACAACCCAAGCACGGCTACAAAAGAATTCTATATGGTCATTCGACCAAGTGGAAATGTTATAACATCTGTTAGTATGGGACCTGATTATCGGTTTGGACAGCTTTGTTTCCCTTGGATTGGGACAATAGCGGCTCCTAATTTGTTTGTTGTGAGATATAAAAGTGTCAATCTTTGTGTATCATTTGCGAAAATATTGTTTAATTCATAAGACCTATATAATCTATTAGAATTCTTTTGGGCAGACACCAGTAGAAAATTCACGGTTTCTTCTACGGTCCATTCTCATTTTATTGGTCTGGAAATGTTATGCCCTTTATGATAGTATCGGATATAAGCGGATTTGACAGAAAAATCTCAATACTAGACGTCCTTTTTACTTTTAATTATGCCAAAATTACTCATTTATAGTTAAAATTTGTTGTAAATATATCTAATACTGTTAACTACATATTCCTGGATCATTTAATCCATCTGAAATGATAGGAAGAAAGTTAATTTAAGTTTTAATTGCCAGAAATAGCTTTTTTTAAAAGTTTTATGACATTGTTTTTCTTTAATTAAATTTGTATATTCCTAAAATTTTCAAAAACAAAATTTTCTTCCTCAAATTCAGTCAAAAGTAATGTCAGCAGAAGAATGTAAGTGTGTTTATTATCTTTCAATTTTTTCAAACTATATTTCCTACCAAAATTCGATAAAACATTAATTTTCAGTATATAATGCCAAAAATTGGAATATCTCCGTTTAACCCCGATATGATATAGGTCGAGGATTCGCTGTATGGTGTATCTTACAATGTTCATGAGACAATAAAATTATCCAATGAATGTTCTGCTTGTGATTTTGTGATCAATAGGTTACCTTGAAAATCGAATTGAGATTAATCATAAGACGTTATGCATCTAATTAACTCAATAGGGTTTAGTTTGGCGGAGATTATTACAACAATCAACAATGATAAGCCATTCGAGAACAACTGATTTCACTAAACCTCTTTATCAGCTCTAAGCATTCATAACAGTCTGATTATTTATTATTTGAAGCCAGAAGTGACGCAACATCTTAGGCCTTTAAGAACTAAATTCTAACTCTCTTCAAAACGTTCAGCCAATAATCTGCCCTTCACTTTTTTATTTTCCGCGCATTTACTGTTATCAAGATCGACGTCGTGAAAATTTGATTAGTTGCAGCCAGTATAAAAGAAGGGAGTCATCCACAGAAAAAATTTTGGTAGTTGATTTGGAAAAGCTCTGTCTGCAAAATGCTACTCAATTCAGTGCTCACCACTATCGCTTTAGGTGCATTGGCTAGTACTGCCAGTGCTGAAGATTCAGACTACAAAGTTGTCGGGAGTTTGATCTTTGGTCGTCATAATGACCGTCCTGCAAAACCTGCTTCATACCTTACTCCAATCGGTGCTGAGTCTCAATACACAATTGGTCAGTTTTACAGAGAACGTTATTTTGGCTTAGACTCATCAAATGTCAAATCATCTTCTAATGAGGGAAACACTACTACTATCTCAGGATTAGAGAAAGATGGGTTATACGTCAATGGTCAAATATATTGTGAGGCTGAATCCTCAAATGTTATCCTTTTCAGTCATTATGCCTTTTTACAAGGTTTATACCCACCACAAAACGTTGCAGGTACATCTGTTGGAAATTTAACTTTAGCTGAGATCGCTAATGGCTCTGTTGTGCAAAACCCATTAAATGGATATCAATACGTTCAATCAAACATCCAAGAAAACGCAACAGATGGTTATATTTGGACCAAAGGTGATTCCAACTGTCCTGCTTCGGATGCTGCTATTGATCAAGTTCAAAATAGTGATCTCTTCAAAACATTGACCAACGAATCTGCAGAATTCTATCAAAGTATTGCTGATATCCCATTCATTAAAGAAAAATTCAACAGTTCAAAAGTCAACTTTAAGAATAGTATGAACATTTTCGATCAAGTTTGGGTAAATACAATCCATAATGAAACTGTTGCACAACAATTTAACGAGTCATTGATTGATGCTATTCAATTTTGGTCTGATAAATACCAATGGTTAATCAGTGATAATCAAGTTAATGCAAACTTGACAATTGGTGCAAAGACATTAATGGCTAGAATTGCTGATAAACTAACAACTACAAAGAACAATGGTAAGCCATACTTGAACTATTTAACTGGTTCTTTCAACACAATGTATCAATTGGCCAGTGTTATGAATTTGGATATTGCAGATTCCAAATTCAGAACAATGCCAAATTATGGTGCTACTTATGTTTTTGAATTGTTGAATAATACTCAAAATGAAACTTTTGTTAAATTTTCTTTTAAAAATGGTACACAAGAATTAAACACTTATCCAATTTTCAATTCAACTTCTGATTTAATGTCATGGGACGATTTTGTTTCAAATGTCGGTAAAATCTCCATTCCAAAAGTTTCAAGTTGGTGTAGTGCTTGTGGTTATGATGATATCAGCTCTGATAATGTCATTGATATGTGTGTTCCATCTTCAGATACTTATGAACAAGCACTCAAATTAGAAAGTGAAGGTGTTGATTTAGCTTCTTATAAGAAGAATAAAATGAGTTTAGCAGATGCTGGTGGTATTGGTGCTGGTGTCACAATTGGTGTTTTCGCAATCCTTGGTGGATTGATCTTTTTAGGCTTGAAACTTCGTAATAAGAATGAAAAGAAGTCAGCCATCCTACCAAGCAATGTTAGTGATCTTTCTTCAAATACTGATATTGAAAGTCATGTTGAAAAAGGTTCATCACACGCTTAATTTATAAACAGTTTTTATAGAGAAATTTAATCATACGTTTTAATGTTTTTTGTTGAATTGGATAGTTAGCTTCTGTGCTACTGCACTTCAATTGTAAATGCAGACCACATTTCGGTGAAATTCCACTAACAAAATCCTACTACAAAAGTAAAAATACCATGATTGAAATGAAATGTATTGAGAATTGAATAGGTGACTTGCGCAATTTTTCAGCACTAGATACAACCTAGACACAAAACACCATTGTAAAAGCTTCATGACCAAGATCTTAGGGGAGGAATGCATTGATGCTCAAACTCCCTGCCAATTCGATTAATGGTCAAGATGCTAGAAACTTTGCAAAAATAAGGTTAATAAAGTGGCTTTGACATCGTTAGGTTTGATCTCACGGTATGCTCAATAGTATATATCGATGATATCCTGATAATGTCAACAACCTCAGAGGAACATCACATCATGCTGGAAAAAGTCTTGCATCGCCTTTGTCTAAAAAGTTGACTAACTATTTACATATGACATATGACTTTTTTTTGAATTACTATAAAATTATTTTCGCGAATATGACAGCACGGGTAACATGTGCATCGGATTTATGCGCTGTCTGATGACGCCCTGGCACTAAATAATTATAAAACATCAACAACTTGTCCAGCCTTCACCTGTTCTCACCAATGGCAAGGACATCGCATTAGGAACACAGTAGCATGCCTGAGTCCAGGATATCCTCATGTGTCGGGTGCAGGCTCAGGAGAAGAAAGTGTGATCAGAAAAGACCAATCTGTACGGCTTGTGATGAGTTAAAGATCCCTGTTGAGCTGTGTGTTTACAGGAAAATGAGTTTGGTATCCAAGGATTCCAAAACGACTTTAAGCAAATTGAGAGTGAGGAATGATGAATTAAAGATTGAATTGGCCAAATGTCAAGCTCGAAATGGTGATGGTGTTGATGTTGACCTAGAGAGAAACCCTTTGTTTCGTACGGTACGTGAATCAAACTCCAGCCTTACGCATTTCGGATCAACTTCATGGGCTGCACTGATAGATACGGAACCTGTGCTAAAAGCAATAGTGTCACAGATGCACTTGCTGATGAAGCATCAGAGAGATGAATATGACTCGAGGAAAAAATCCCATCATGACAAGGAAATGAACATGAGGCCAGTCATGAAAGGAAGAACTTTATTATCACAAATGGGACTTGAAAGGGAAGATCATTTGGATTTCATCAAAGAAATGTTACAACAAGTTGAAGATTTATTACCGAGTGGTGAAATGATTGTTCATTTTCTGGACATGTACAAGAATTATAATGCTATGAAGGCATTAGGAACTTTTTTGGTGGATTTTGATTCATTGAACCAAGCAGTTTTGGAATTCATCAATGTTGATTTGAATGGGAAGGCAACATTTAATATTCAACTTCCAAGAGATTTGGACAAAATGTCGCATGTTTTGTTGTTTTTATCAAGTTTAAGCTTTATGATTTTCCTCAAGAATCAAGTCACAGTGAATAATGAAGGTACGACTGATGTCAACTATCTTGTGTTTTTGGAATTTGTTGATGCATTATTCACCCTACTACATAACTATTTAGCTGCCAATGGTGCTTTGAGATTGTTGTACACCGTTGAAACTTTCCAAGCCTTATTCATCTCGGGGACTTTTCAAAATTATGTTCCTCATGGGAATATGATTGATGATTCAGAAGGTGCTAAAACTGCAGTATACATGAGAAAAATGGTTTCATTAGGGAAACTGTTAAATTTGAATAAAAATATTGATGTTTATTATGCCCACAAGAGTCCCCAAATGAGAAAAAGTTTGAAAAGTTTATGGTATGCTGTTTCTTCTTATGATTCCTTGGAATCGTTGGAGATTGGTATCCCACCAAAGATTAAAGTATCATTTTTGAGGTATGATGACTTTACTTCGCCATTTACCGAGACTTCAATTACTATGAATCAAGTCTTGAAATTATATTATGAAATTGAACTAATGAAGGATACAAACCAATTAATTGATATCATTGAGAATCAAATAATTAAAACGCTAAAAGATTTGTTAAGAAATCATTTTGCCACATTGGAAGAAGATGTTAAAGTTTTCCAAAACTATGATTTTAGCCATGATTCTTCATCTCATGATTTTTTCACAAGGGGTCAAAGTTTCTCAACAAGGTGTTTAATATACTCCACCATTCAAACTTTTTATCACATTTGTTATCATAGATTGAAAATTGTTCATGAGATAGACTCACAAAGATTTAAAAGAATAACAGTACTGACTTGGAAATATACCTTGTTGGTTCCATTTGTTATGAAGGAGTTATTCAAAGGTTATAACAGGTTAGTTAGACATGAGAACAGTGATGCCTTTTTCCCAGTTGCTTCACTATTAATGTCGGTGTTCCCTTACATGAGATTAGCTCAAAGACGGATAGCTATTTTTGCAAGTGCAAGATTTATGGAAACGTTCAATTATGATCAAGTGTCAAAAACTGCAAAAATTTTCTTTTATCAATCAGATAATAGAGAAAATGAAATTTATGAAATGCTTGATGATCAAAGCTTATATCAAAAAGAGTATAATCTTTCAGATTATAGCAATCTAGAGATTGATGACAACCCAAACGAACTACATTCCAAATTTGAAGAATTGAGTGATAATAAACACATCATTGTGATATTGGCAAAAACAATGAAAAGTTCAATTCAACTATTGTCAAATGATCGTTATAATTTCAATTTTGTCACATATAATTACATTTTCTTCTTTCTTTTGAAAATGTCCAATTTTTTCTTGAACCAAGCCTTCCCAAACACAAACTTTATATCAAGATCAAATAAATCCACACCTTCAAGTTCCACCCATACAGAGTTTGATTTTAATGAATTATTTGAAAAAGCTATAGACACCAGATCTCAAAAGTTTGATTACAACAATTTCTTTACAAATTCATACTCATCAACTTTCCATCCTGGGGATAATAATAATCAAAATCATACACGTAACGGTATGTTGGATGATTTCTTTGCAAGCCTAGATATACCTGGATCGTCAAACGTACCTACAGATTCCAATACTTGGTTTAAACACGAATAATGATATATTGTATTATATGAGTCATATTTGAAGATTTATGGTATAACAAATGCATATTTTGACTTCTCTCTAATTTTTTGTCCATATCTATAAAAGAAAAATGGAACTGGAATCAATACAACACCAATCAAAGCTAATAATAAACCAGCCCATTTAACACCCATGTTATGCAACATTTGAACACCAAACAATGGGAATGCACAAGCAAATGAAGATCTAAGAAATGTATTAGCAGCCATTGCCGAAGCTGCAAACACTAAATAAGTATCAATAATATAATTTAATGAGGCATTGAAGATGGTAACTAATCCAAACCCTGTAAACACACCCGAAGCTGTTGGAGCCATCCAATGAACTTTATGAGGCCAGTTACCAGTCCAAAATAACCAAAAAATACCAATTGGGAATGCAAACGAACCGAAGAATAAAGGTGGTAATCTTGCCTCAGGGACAGGTTTATAGTTATTTGCTTTCAATGCTTTTAAATAATTACCTTCCATTGCAAATGTGAAAACACCACCAGCCAACATACCGATAACCATACCAAGATATGGTAGTTCTGCCACACCACCATGCATTCTATAACCCTCTGCAAAGATGACTGGATAAGCTGAAAGCATTAAATACAAAATCCCATAGACAAATGCATTATAAAGACTGATCAACAAGATGATTGGTTCAGAAATCAACATATATAATGGTCTTGTCAAGTTCTTCTCCACAATATCTTTTAAAGTTATTGTGAATTCATCATGAGCTGCATGAATCATCCAATTACCAGTTCTTTCCTTGATTTCATTAGCCTTTTGTACCAAAATTATAGGATGATGTGTTTCTTCGTAGAACAATGTAACCAATACCAGACTCAAAGCACCCATTATACCAGTAATATATTCGGTCCATCTCCAACCCAAATAACTATTGACAATAAAAGAACCAGCAACAGGTGCAATAATAGGAACACAGAAAATGGTCATAACAAACAAAGTTATAACACGACCACGTTGTTGGTTATCAAACATATCAGCAAAAGCAGCAGGAACAACAACCATCGGAGCTGCACCAATAGCACCACCAAATGCTCTACAGAGCATAACTGTTTGGATATCTTTAGCTGTAGCCACAGCAAATTGGAAAATGGTGAATCCAAACCCAGATAATATTAAAACAGGTCTTCTACCATACAATTCACTTAATGGGGCCCAAATAACAGGACCTGTTGCAAAACCCAAAACATATAATGAAACACCCAATGTTGCAACAACTCTACCAACATGGAAAACTTGAGCAATTTCTAAAACTGCAGGCGAAAAAACAGACGAAGACCAAGCAATACATGAAGAATGATAAGCAATGATTAAACAAACCATGGCTTTTTTCTTTGTTGGCCAATTTGTAGGGATCCTTGGATCATTATCACCATCAAATGAAACTGTATATTCTTCAGGATCAGGGTATTTAGTTGGTAATGCCTTACCTTTCCCCATTGAAGGAATTGGTTTTGAAGCTGCTGAAGTGTTTGAAGCATTGGTACGACTTCTTGAGCGTAAACTATATCTTTGATCAGAATCACGGCCACTTAGGGCACGGGATAACCTTCTACCAGCCTCTGGACTAGAGTCTATTCTAGATAATTCACTGCGCAAACTTGGAGCCATGACTTCATCAGGACCAGCTTCTATGTCTTTAGCATTCACATCGATTGGGTCAACAGCCTCTGAACGAGTTGAGCCGTTGTCATTGAGATAAGTTGTATTATCACTCCCGTTATTCTCAAAGTCAGGAATTTGAAGACCAGCAGATGTTCTTTGAGCTTGAGGAGCGGTTTCAAAAGATTCAGCATCACCGACAGGAGGAACTCCAGATTGAAGGTCGGTCTTTTCGCTATATGGAACCGACATTTTTCATGAACTTCAAAGTTTTATTCTATCTTGTACCCGAACAAGAGTCAAAAGTTGAATGAAATTGAGGAATTGTTCAAGTGGAATCTCAATTGCTTATAAGCATTTGAGCAATTGTAGGCAAAGTTGTTCCTCGGTCTAGCTGATGATTCATGGTGTCTTAAACTCTGTGTCCTAACGGTAACTTAAGCCATACTCTAATTACCGACTGCCATGATCCTTGAAACAACGGTTGAAACCTTTTTTTCTGAGCTGCTCATCTTCAAATTCAATTCGAGTCTGTAGAAAGTGTTAATTGTTGCTTTTTTGCTTCTTTTGACGTGCAAATAATAATCTCTGGTCACGGGACACACCATACTTTGAGGAAAAAAAATCAAAACAACGAAATTGGTTCAAATCAATTCAAAGGGGGTTTTAAAGGACATTGAAGAGATAGTAATTGGGTTTAAAATGGATTATAATCAGCTGGGAGTCGCCACTGCTGCTGCTGGCTCAGCTGCCGATGCGAAGAGCGCTGCTTGTTTGGGCTGCAGAATACGAAGACGAAGATGTGATCGAATGAAGCCCGTGTGCACTGGTTGTCTTGATTTGAATGTCCCTCCAGAGCTGTGTGTTTATAGAAGTATTGGTATCATGTCCAAGGACTCCAGAAATACGCTGAGTGTGATCAAGACACAGAATGCGGAGCTGAAACAACAATTAATCCATTTGCAAACTGCTCTGAGGAAGACTAAAGGAACGGGATTGACTGATATCATCGAGAATGACGATTATTCAAGTGATGAGGTTGAGAGAGAACTATCTGAGGCAAATAAAATCCAAAAGAATAGCTCCCTGAGTCATTCCTATAAGCATCTTCAGTTGAATCCACAGAGAAATCCATTATTATGTACAATTAGGGAGACAAAATTCAGTACTACCCATTTGGGATCAATATCATTAGATGCACTTAGTCAAAGTGAACCTTCAATTAAATTGCTATTAAGTCAAATTCACACAGTTATAAGAAGGGAAAGATTGAAATACGATGCTAGAAGAAGAAAATTTGGTAATTTTGTGGAAAATGATGAAGGTTTAAACAGTATTAAATTTAAAATTCTTGATAGAATGATTGGTTTATCTCCCGAAAACGATTTCGAAATACTGAATACAATCTTTGCAGAAATTGAGAAAAACTTTCCAGATTGTGCTTCATTAGAATTCCTGTTGAACTCATATTTCAAGCATAATGAAGATAGATATGTTGTCTTTGTTTATGTTGATGAAGAAACAACAAGACAATCATTCAACAGATTTTTAGATACTTCTGGCAAAAGACCAAAGATCAATATCAAGTTACCAGAAGAAGTTGATAAATTACCAGGATTGTTATTACTATTAAGTGCAATGGTTTTTTCCACTTTTTTGAAAAGTGTTACAATTGGCTCAAAACATTCGGATTTTAATTACTTGCTATACCTGGAGTATGCTGAAGCTATCTTGTCTACAAAACCATTTTTAGAAGATAAGTATTCTTCAAAGTCATTAATCACACCAGAAACGTTAGTCGCATTGACTCATATTGTTGGGTTTGAGACTTATACACCTCATGGAAGGGTCATGGATCAGGATGCCAATGGTGCAGAAAGTGTTGTTGTGGTGAGAAGATTAGTTGACATTGCCAAATCACTCAATTTGCATAAAAATATTGATTATTATTATGCTGATAAAAATCAAAGTGTAAGAAAATCTTTGAAAAATCTTTGGTTTTTCTTGGTACATATTGAACAAATTGAATCTTTTGAACATGGATTACCTTCCAAAATTCATCCAAAGACAATAAGATATTATCCAGATTATTCAAACTCGTTAACAAGAGTAACACTGGTTATTAATCAAATATTGGGTGTTTATTTCAAGATTGAAACTACTGCAGATACGTATTCATTTGTTGATAAAGTGGAAAACCAATGTATACGACCTTTGAAAAGTTCATTAAGTAAAGAATTTGGTTCTTTACAAAGAGAAATTGATCTTTTACAGAATTTTAACTTTGATGATGTTTCATTAATCCCTGAATTCAGATATCTAGTTCAACAAATGGTTATAAGATTCATAGCTTTGGGAATGTTGCAAGCTTTCCATTATCTTTGTTTCAAAAGATTAGAACAAACCGGTGATAGATCTCCAAGGTATGAAAGATTTAAAATACTGACATGGAAATATTCAATGGTTGTACCAATTTTGGTTGCTGAAGTATTGACTGGGTTTAAAAGATTAACGCATCATCCAAATCATCCACAGTTTCATGTTATTGCTTCATTATTACAATTGTCTTTTGAAATGAGAATGGCTGAAAGGAGAATGGGGATTTATGCAAGTGCAAGAATTTTAGATATGTTGAAGGTTGGGAATTCAACAATGATAAAGAAATTATTATTCCAAAGCAAGAAGAATAAAAATAATGAAATACATGAAATTTTAAGAGAAAGAGGTGAATATCAACATTGCTATACCTTGAGTGATTTTGATGATTTCCAAATTGATGATAATTTTACACAACTGATGGATAAGTTTTCAAGGTTTCAAGACGTTAAATATATTATTGTGGTTTTTAGTAAGAAAATGTTGGAAATTTTGGACCTATTAGCTAATGGGAATTATAATTTCAATTATATGAAGTTGAATTATGGATTTTTCTTAATGTTGAAGATGTCAAGTTTGTTTTTGAATCTTGTTTTCCCTTATCAAGAATTAAGTGATAAGGCTATAATCAAAGAAGAAATATCAACATCTGAAGAAGAATTTGATTTCAATGAATTGTTCAAGACTGCAATTGATACAAGTTCAAGCAAATTTGATTTTGAAAGTTTCTTTACAGGGTCGTTTGGTAATGTTTATCAAGTCAATGAAATTGAAGACTTTTTTGCTTCAAATGTTAATAGATATTGATGAGGACGTACCCGTGTTAATTATTGATATTCATGAATGTATTGTATAACTTTTAATTACATAGAAATGGTTAAATACTTTTGTACACAACTCCGAAGAACAATGCAAACCTTGTTTGAATACGAGACTGCCTGAAAAGCACTACTGGCTTCTCGGATTTCGACCCACTGTCCAATTCATCTTAATTAGGCCAATTGCCACTCAAAAAGAGCTTCGATCACCAAAACCACCATCTTCTATTGGTAAGTTCTGCGTTACGCCATACAAAATCAGATTCTTCTAGAAAAATCCACGTGACTAAAAATTGACTTTGATTTTTTTTTTTTTTTTTTTTTTTTTCTTTGAAAAAAGATTTAAAAAAAAATCCATTAAATCATCAACGAAGCCTTATTCAACTCATACTTTTCGAAAAGGAGTTATTTTACACTTGTTCAAGCAATTCAGAAAGCTGTCCATTACTAAAAGACAAACCGTACTTTCAAGCAAAGTATCAAATTCCCATCTTTTTCAAAAGCTCTCAATTTAATTTCCCTATTCGTTTCTAAATTGACTTGTTCCGATTACTTATCAAGTGCAAAATTCAAGAAGGCAAATTTTAAATAGATACAACTCACAATCACAATGGTCAAAGAAACTGCTTTTTATGACTTACTAGGTGTCTCACCATCTGCTTCAGAAGCTGAAATCAAAAAAGGTTACAGAAAAGCCGCTTTAAAATATCATCCAGATAAAAACCCTTCAGAAGAAGCTGCTGAAAAATTCAAAGAAATCTCTGCTGCCTATGAAACTTTAAGTGATTCTCAAAAAAGAGATATCTATGACCAATATGGTGCCGAAGGTTTAGCCAGTGGTGGTCCAGGTGGTATGGGCGGTATGGGTGCTGATGATATATTTTCACAATTCTTTGGTGGAGGTATGTTTGGTGGTGCTGGTGGTGCTCCAAGAGGTCCTCAAAAAGGTGCCGATATCAAACATTCTATTAGTGCCACTTTAGAAGAACTGTACAAAGGTAGAACTGCCAAATTAGCCTTGAACAAAACCATTCTCTGTAAATCTTGTGAAGGTCGTGGTGGTAAAGCTGGTGCAGTTAAAAAATGTACTTCATGTGGCGGTAGAGGTGTCAAATTCGTTACTAGACAAATGGGTCCAATGTTGCAAAGATTCCAAACCACTTGTGACACTTGTAGTGGTTCAGGTGATATCATTGATCCAAAAGATCGTTGTACTTCTTGTCATGGTAAAAAAACACAATCTGAAAGAAAGATCTTACAAGTTCATATTGATCCAGGTATGAAGAATGGTCAAAGAATTGTCTTCAAAGGTGAAGGTGACCAAGAACCAGATATCATCCCAGGTGATGTTATCTTTGTTGTTGATGAAAAACCACATGAATTATTCAAGAGAAAAGGTGATGACTTGATCTATGAAGCTGAAATTGATTTATTAACTGCTTTATCTGGTGGTGACTTACACATCAAACATGTTAGTGGTGAATACTTGAAGGTTACAATTATTCCAGGTGAAATTATATCTCCAGGTCAAGTTAAAGTGATTGAAAACAAAGGTATGCCAATCTATAAATTAGGTGGTTATGGTAACATGTTTGTTAAATTCACAATCAAATTCCCAGAAAACAATTTCACATCTGAAGAAAACTTGAAGAAATTAGAATCTATCTTACCTCCAAGAAGAAAAGAAAACGTTCCAAAAGATGCTGTTGTCGATGATGTTATTTTAACTGAATACAATGAACATAAACACGAATCAAGAAGAAGACCAAACTATGCTCATGATGATGATTCAGATGATGAAGGTGCTGGTCCAGGTGTTCAATGTGCCTCTCAATAGATTGTTTAGACAAGTTAGAAAGGACCTCATTGAGCCCCCAGGTCAACTAACCCAAGAATTGGAGTTCTTTAACTCTTCATCTAATTTCTTTCACGTGGAATGGGGTTATTGGCTTGGCTTTAAAATATAAAATGTGTACATTTAGCGTTCTTTTGTTGTTTTCCCGGTTAATATAATATAATTATTTGATTTCATCATGTTAAACGGAAAATATATGTAATTTGAGCTACGACGTACTACATTAGGCATTTGAAGTATAGTTACCTTTTATTTTCTTACCCATGGCCATGATATCTATTCTGTATATTTTCTTTTAACCAATTTCTCAATCATTATTGAGAGCGTAATAAAAAATTATAATAAAATAAACCCTTCTCCCTATTCCTTTTGATTATTGCTCAGAGAAATACCCTTCTCTTATATTGATGTAAAAACCCAAATAAAAAAACCCTTTTATATGTGATAAAAAAAGATAATGATACTGATAACTTCCACCAAAGTGAAAACTCACTTATTAGGTGGATTGTTTGGAGTTGATATTAAAAAACTAACATCTGATTTCCCCTGTTTTGATTGTTCACCACTTCCTCTTTTCATTGCAATTGGAGAACCACTTACACTCATTGATTCACCTTCTCTATACTGGGATGGAGGTGGAGGTGGACCGGGACCAGGCAAAGAATGAACACCAGTAGAGCCTATTTGCGGTGGTGGTGGTAGTATTTGCTGAACTGGAGTTTCCCGACCTTGTGGATTTTGAATAGGTCTTGGAGGGAATGCAAAACCTTGAGGAGGCCCTTGTTGAGGTGGTGGTCCTTGGATATATTGGACTGGATATGCATATGGTTGAGGTGGTGGGGCATGATGCTGCTGTTGCTGCTGTTGTTGAGGTATTGGAACTTGTTGTTGTGGATATTGAAAATATAATGGTCTAGCAGGTTCACGACTTGGATAATAAGGGGAACCCAATGTTCTACCCCATTGTTGTTGCTGTTGTTGTTGATGTTGCTGCTGTTGATGTTGTTGATGCTGCATAATTTGAGTCTCATAAAGCGATCGCAGTTGTGAAACACTAGCTTCGGATTGATTTCTTCTGTGGGACGAAGACGATGTGCTAAATCTGGTTGGAGTGCTTGGCTTCAATGAGGGTTGTTGTTGTGGTGGTCTTAAAGGTTCATCAGACAGTTTTCTCTTCTTTTCAGAATATTGTTGTGGTTGAGGTTGTTGTTGTGATAAAGATTCACCTGGTTTTTGCCAATGATGAAATTGAAACTGAGTTTGTTGAGGTATGTTAACTTTGAAGACAGATGTTGAGGTTTGAAGGTTTTTTGGCTGCTGCGATTGACCAGTAGGTTTGGACTGTAACTGAGTCTCAGATGGACGACGTGAAGCTTGTTGTACAGGTTGCTCGTGCTGCTGTTGAGGATGCTGTTGAGGAGCATCAGGAGTTGATTCTTTCAATCCATACTTTTCCAAAATTTCTTTAGATTGTGCACTAGAAACAAACACGCAAGGTATCAGATGTGGAGGTATACCAGAATTCACAGACAATTTAACAAGATCAATTGAGCTTTGAACATATGATAGCCTCAATGACTCCTTTTTGGTTTTCTCCTTTTCAGCTTTCAAAGATATTGTTGATATTAATAATTGTTCGGAATATGGCCAATCTTTCAATGAAATACCTAACGTATCTTTGAGATATGATTCAGTAATAGGATTTGAGTCCTTGGGTATGCCTCTAAGTTCTTCCTGTTCAACGGGGTTTTGCTTTTGTTTTTCAGTTTCTTCTTCCTCGTGTATAGTTGATTTTAACGGTGATTTTGATCTAGATCTTGATCCAGATCTTTGTAAATCTTGGGCTTCTCTTCTCTCTGAAGTTGATCCTAATTCTGATGGATCCAGTGATTTCTGTCTTTTATGAGACCTTAGAAACTTGGAGAACCCTTTGATCCCTGAAGAAGAAGCACCTGTAATGCTGGAAGCTGATGATGAAGATGTTGGTTTTTTGATAGGGCTTGATTCTGCAGTTTCAGTTTCTTTACCAGCAGATGTTTTGGATGTGTGTATTGATGGTGATGTAGCAGATTCACTTGACTTTCTTCCTTCTCTGGGACTTGATCTTGGCTTTGTTCCAGATTGACCTTTTGACGGACTCATGATGGTTAAAATAAAAATATAACTTCACAAGACCGAAAAGTGCCAAAAGTTCTTTTATACCGTAATAACGCAAGAAGCAAAACTAAAATAAATAACCCGCAATGAATAAATAATAATTTGATAATAGAAAGACTCTGGCCCTATTGATTATAAGCAAATTGTAAACGCGGTGATGGTGATGGTGACGATGAGCTGGAGCCATACAAACAAGGACTGTGAAAGGCACACACACACGTTAATGGGATCAACGATAACAATAACAAGAAAACAAAAACAAAACAGATGCAGGGCAGGACAATAAACGTATCACTGGTATAAAGCGACGCGAGTAGAAGTAGCGCTTAACTTGGTTGTGTTAAGCTCAGCTTGTTTTCTTTTGTTTTCCTCTTTACAAATTGACTTTTTCTGGTGGTGACACCAATTTGAATTTGGCAAAAGGGGATGATGGTGGACGTGATGATGCTTTTGGGCTTAGAGAGATCAGGCTCAGATGATGGAGATGATGATGATTTTATAGTTGGTGATGGTATTATGGATTTATAAAGGCCCTGGTGCTTGTTGACATTAGTTGATAGTTTTGCCTGAAATGGGCCTTAAATTTTCGAAATCTCCAGTTTCAGCTCATTTCGAAATTTTTCGTTCCTTAGCCTAATTTTAGAAAAAGAACCTGGCAAAGTTAGAAAACTGACTGCTACAACTTCAAAACGTAAATAAAAGAACAAATATATAACGATAGTATACAGAAAAATACAGTCCTTAGAACTAAAATAACATCCATTTTCTTTCTTCTCTAACAAAAGTTTCAAAAAAAACAAGAGAAGGATTCATGTTCCCAGCAAAAAAAGGTATAAAAAAAACACACATTTTGGGAGCATACAAAAAAAAAGTCTTAAAAAAATAATAGGCTAAATGTCCTAATTGTACAAGACAAATTTGGCTGAACCTTTAGTAACACCAACAGTACAACCATCATTACCGTTACCATTGTATTGACCATTGGCATAAGTACATTCACCAGAGACATTTGAATTGTCATCGGAAGCGACAATTTTAACCTTAAAGTTTAAGGATTCTTTGTTGTTTGGATTTGGAATCAAAGATAAGTATGAAATACCGTTAACTGCACCAGCCCCAAAGTTTAATGGAGCCCAGTTACCAATACCTGAACCTGCTGATCCCCAAACACAACCATCTTCCCAAGAAACACCAGCATTGTTAACATAGTATTGAGCTGAAGTACCTTTACCTCCCCATTGGTAGTAAGTTGACTGGTCAACAACAGTTAATGGTAATGATTTACCACCTTCAACATTGGTTGGGATAACCATGTTTTCAGTACCTGGGTAATCAGTACGACAAATGGCAACATTTTGTGACAAGTTGTTAACAACATAAGCAGCATCAACACCCCATTCACACAAGTATTTTTGATTGGTGTTTGATCTTCTTAATTTACCATTCTTACAAACCAAACCACCGACTGAAACACCATTACCTGGTTGTTCTGATGGCCATTGAGTTTTGGACATACCTGGTTGACAAGCATAAGAACAATAAGCACCTTCAGTACATTTACCCCCAGTTGAAGTATCAGATGGATGATAAATACCTGAGAAACCACCGAAACCTAAATGTTCTAATGAAATAACACCTTGACCAACTAAAGAATCAAAATCGGTACATGAAATAGTATCATCTTGGAATTCTTTGTTTGGACCAGAGAAATCGGATAAATCACCATAAATTGAACCTGAAGAACCTGAAGAACCACCTGAAGATGATGAAGAAGATGATGAAGATGAGGTTGATGATGAAGTAGTAGATTGGGCTTCAGATGATGAGGCTGAAGTTGAGGTTGGAGCTGCTGAAGTTGAGGTTGAAGTTGAAGAGGAACTTGATGATGGTTTAACACTAGCAGCTCTGTCAACAACTGAAGATGGTTCTAAAGTGGTTTGAGAAGCTGAAGCACTAACAGTTTGACCTTGGCCATCAACAGTAACGGTTGAGTAAACATATTCAACAGCAACGGCACGTTTGTGTTGATGATGGTGATGAGCAGTAGTAGCACATTCAGCATCACGTTTAGCAACACCAGCATGGGCATGAGGAGCAGCGACGGCTGAACCCATTAAGTAAGCAGCATAAGCAGCGACAAAAGATGTTGAGAATTTCATTTCTGTGATTGGAATATTAGTATATGATATTTAATAAATGAACGTAAGTGTTGAAATTGAGCTTTATATCTTCAAGATATTAAGGATGCAAATTGGAAAAAAACTATTGAACAGGAAAGAGGTTGTAATGCAATTGAATTGAAAGGAATGACTATGACTTTAGTAAATGCTAGAAGAATTGATGATTTGGAATGTATCAACTGAAAATTCAAAACTCAAAACTCAAATAAGAAAAAAGGAAGACATGAACTGCTTATAATATATTGTGTGAAGGGGAAAAGGCTTTAGAAATAGACACCAATCGATGTACCTTACACCAACAACCTGAACATAAAAAACAACAGTACCAAGATTTTCGATCAACTCAATCCTCGATGCATGGAACGCGACCGCGTTTTGACTCCTTTGGTGAATTCCGAGGGGCAACAAACCGGAAATAATTTTAGAAAATTTTGCCATGGTAACTGGTGATTTCCCTTTTCGGAACATTCCAAGTGTTTTGGATCTTTTGATGTGAAACAGATTTGAAAACTGTAGTTGATGAGGATGTTGATAGTGGAAAAAACCATGAACGAACTTGAGTGTAATCTGAATAATCTCTCTGTATATCTCTTTCTTCATTCAAAAGTATCCCTAGCTCTTTTTTCTCTTCCTGTTCAAATCCAAATCTTATTTTTTAGATCCCGAAGAATCTCAATCTAAAAATATTCTATTTGAAGAAGCTCAATTTCAACACTAGGAAACTTGTTAGTTAACAAAAAAGTAACATACCTTTAAATCTTCAGCAAAAAACTTCTTGTTTAATATAATTTTTTTGATAGCTTTTTTTGTTCTAAACTTGTTCTAATTTTTGAAAGGAGTGACTAGATTGAATTTTTTCTTGCAAACAATCTGGGATCTAAAAAACTAGAAGAGTAAAGGATTGAATATGATTTAAAATATCTGTGCTTGTAAAGGAGCGTAAAAAGTTGGAATAGATATTTCAAAGAATAGTTCGTTGTAGTTGTTGGAAAAGTTGTGGTTGTTGGAAAGGAAGAAGAATGTAAACATGAATATTGGCGAAGTTGGTGAATTTTAAGAAGCGTGGCCCGAGTCCAAAAAAAAAGGTCAGATGCTGGGCGAACCAGGGCCATAACTGTTCAGAATCGTATGGCTGGTTAGAAAAACCATCAACGAGTAGCAATTGAATACACATAGAATCATTGATCTACAGAGGAAGATGGGATGAAAGCACAGCCTAAAGGCTAAAGCATATACACGTCCACTTGGCTCTTAGTTTTTTATAAACAAAATCCTGAAATTGGATTCAAATTGACTTGAAACCAAATTGTAATTCAATTTTGTACCATGGTCCACAAAGAGCCCCAAAATAGAGTGAATATGACTGAAGGCTTGCAGTTTGCTGGTTAAACTGAATCAAGCTAGAGCTCACTTTCACAATGAAAGATGTCGAGATCAAGCTTTATCAGTCCAACATGCAATAACCATTAACCGTTAGTTTGAACAATTTCGAATATGAGCCAGCATACATACATGATACGTGAGTACCATCATGAACGTTTTATTGATACTGCAACAAACTGGGTTGAAAATAACACATATAGCATCGAATCAAAGCATGGACATAACTTGAACAAGTGGAACCATACAAGTCAGCTTCAAAGGTCACTTTAATCCTTTCTTGTTCAGTGCATCAACTTTACACAAAAGTCCTTTGACATTGGATAAACCTACAAGCAAGTGATACTATGTAGGAGGGAGAGCGTAGGCCAGTTTGTTAGTAAAGAAGTACTAATATAGTCTAGTCAATAATACTGTTAGACAAGTACCCTTTCACCAGAAGCAAAGGCACAAACCAGTGTAGTTGCGTTGAGTGAACAGTGAACACGATCTAAACGTTAATTTTGACACCTTTCATGTGATCTTGAAACATGATTAAATAAACTTTCAAATTATATTTCCAAACAACATAACTTTATTGAATCATCAACAAACAGTCATATCGAGGTGAAACAGTCGTTAATTACATCTATACACGTCAAATTCAAAGTTCTACGTCGTCAGGATTATTTCCTCCTTGCAGTGACACTAAAAACGATTTACAGGAACACGCGAAACACGTCAAATTTTTTTTAATAACTTTTGAAAACTCAATTAACGAATCCAATAATCGACCCTTGAAGGTTAACGGACCACGGTGACCATAATAATCACTAACATCAAGGGATGCTGTGCATATCTTGGTTGAATTTACACCTTCAACATGCCAAACTTCGAAGCTTGACCTCATCTCACCTCGAAACCTATATCTCAAACAAAACATACTCATATCATTAATTGCTATATGCCAAAATACTTTTCAATCCAAATGTAAATTGAATTCATCTGTGTTTTTCTTTTTCATACTGTCAAACATTCTACCCAATTTGAATCTTCTAATGAAAACTAATTCAACAAACCAACCAGGAAACCATCTAATAAGGAATGGAACCATTGTGGAATAAGTTCCTCTATAGATATCAATAGGATCTCTTGAGCTTTGAATATTTTTAACAATAGACTTAGCATAAACTGAAGCTTCCATTGGAGTGTTTTCCTTTGCCAATCGTTGTCTCATTTCAAAACTTTCAGCACCTTCTGGTGTATTGTATAATGAATTTTCTGGAATCTTTCTAGTATCTGCAATATTTGTATTAACACCACCAGTGATAACATTGATAACACGAACTCCTAATGGTTTCATTTCTAAATGTAACACTCTAGCATATTGGTGAATAGCACCTTTAGTTGCCGAATAAACTGAACCAAATGGGAATTGTGCAATACCAGCCAATGAACCTGTGAATAAAATAGTACCCTTTGCCTTGATAACAAATGGCGATAGCTCTCTTGTTAATCTAATACAAGCAAACACATTGACTTGGAAAACTTGTTCAACTTGATCATCAGTAACATCAATTGCTGGTAATGTACACGATTGACCTGCATTATTATAAAGGATATCCAATTTACCATCTTCTAAAGTTTCCAACAAGTATTTTTTAAACAATTGAACACTTTCTTGTGATGTGACGTCCAATGATTTTGGAATAACACCATATTGTTTCAATGATTCCATTGGTTCAGTTCTTCTGGCAACTGCAAACACCTTATATCCTTTCAAAGCCAATTCTTTGGAGACTGCATAGCCAATACCTGAGGAAGCACCTGTGACTAAAGCGGTTTTTTGACGGGTCATTATGAGTTAATTGAATAGAATATGATAATATCTATGAGGATGGATGGTTAAACTGAAGGGATTGGGTTCCTAAAGTACTGTGCTTTTCGATTTTTTTTTTGAGCGCGAATCAGCAATTATCAGCTACAATTACAAATTTCAAAGAAGCATAAAATGTATCACTTTTTATTCCTGTTTGCGTACTGAATATAAATAATGAAAAGCTGTATAAAGTGAAAAATGATAATTCTTTTGATTTCATAAAACAATAGACGTGATATTAGATAAAGTCAAATAATAATAAGCAATTAAAAAAAATGTGTAAATAAAATAAAGATTTCCAAACTAGTTCAATTGGGCTTAAGCACCGAAAGCATCTTCCAAGAAAGCGTTTTCTTCAGCAATATGCATGCTCTTAGTACCAGCAGCAACAGAAGCTGATGGATCTCTACCAGCATAACGGACAATCTTATCGTTATGAATGGTTTCTTTCAAAACAGTTTGTAATCTTGGTTGAGCATATGACCAACCACCCATATTCAAAGGTTCTTCTTGACACCAAACGATATCTTCAACATTTGGGAAAGAGTTCAATGCATCACGAACTTGAGCAAATGGGAATGGATGTAATTGTTCAATTCTAATAAATGCAGTAGATTTATCTTCTAAAGTTTCACGTTTTTTAGTTAATGCAGTAAAGACTTGACCGACTGATAAAATAACACGTTTAATTTCTTCTTTAGTACCAATCTTGTTACCAATTTCAGCATCTTCAATAATCCATTGGAAATGAGAGTCCTTACTGAAATCATCTAATGGAGATCTGGCTAATGGATGACGTAACAATTGTTTTGAGAAGAATAAAGCTAATGGTTTTCTGAATTGACGATGCATTTGTCTTCTGTATAAATGGAATAAGTTGGCTGGTGTAGTTGGGTAAGCAACTTGGAAGTTACAATCTTGATGTTGACGGTTCAATTTTTCTTCTGATGGGAAATATCTTGGGTCTTCATTAGTTAATTGTAAATATCTTTCAATTCTACCTGAAGAATGTTCTGGACCTTGACCATCATAACCATGTGGTAAAGTTAAAACTAAACCAGATCTTTGTTTCCACTTAGATTCACCAGCAGCAATGAATTGATCAATAATAACTTGTGCAGTGTTGGCAAAATCACCAAATTGAGCTTCCCATTGAACGAAAGCATCTGGGGAAGTTAAAGAATAACCATATTCGAAACCCATTACACCATATTCTGATAAAGAAGAGTTGGAAATGATGAAATCAGCTTGGTTTTCACTCACATGTTTCAATGGAGTGTATGTGTTTTCTGATTTTTGATCATGTAAAACAGCATGACGTTGTGAGAAAGTACCTCTTTCAACATCTTGACCTGAAACTCTAACGTGGTAACCTTCATTAACCAAAGAACCATAAGCTAAAGCTTCACCAGTAGCCCAATCGATACCTTCACCAGATTCAACAGCCTTCTTACGTTGTCCCAAAATTCTCTTCAAGTTTCTATGAACTTCGAATGCTTCTGGCCAGCTTGAAATAACTTCACCAATATGTTTTAAAGTGTTTTCTTCAACAGCAGTTGGTAAATGTGGTAAAATTTCAGTAGCTAATTCTTTTGGTGATTTAAAACCTTCCCATGGAGTAGTTAACCATTCTCTTGAAGTTGGTTTATATTCCTTAGCTTTGGTGAAAGATTCCTCCAAAATATTCCAAACCCATTGTTTATGTTCATCAATATCTTCTTTAGTGAATGAGCCTTCATCAATCAACTTCTTGGTATAAACATCAATAACCGATTTCTTTTCAGCAATCTTTTGGTACATCAATGGTTGGGTGAAAGAAGGTTGATCAGTTTCATTATGACCATGTTTTCTGTAACCAACAACATCAATGATAACATCAGTGTGGAAGGTAGCTCTCCATTCAGCAGCTAAGTTGAAAATGAAGGTAAGACCTTCAACATCATCTGCATTGACATGGAAGATTGGGGCATTGATAGCTTTGGCAATATCTGATGGGTATGGAGTTGATCTAGCAAATCTTGGATCAGTGGTGAAACCAATTTGGTTATTCACGATAACATGGACAGTACCACCAGTAGCGTAAGCTGGTAATGCAGTGAAACCGATAGTTTCATAAACAACACCTTGAGCAGCAAAAGCGGCATCACCATGGAATAAAACACCAATGGCTTTATCAAATGTACCGACATCATTCTTGTAATGTTGAATAGCTCTGGTTCTACCCAAGACAACTGGATCTTCGGCTTCTAAATGTGATGGATTAGCAACTAAAGATAAATTAACACGTTTACCTGAAGTGGTTGGTCTTTGATAGTTCATACCCAAGTGGTATTTGACATCACCAGAACCTTCATCAACTTCGACTGAACCAGTGAATTCAGAAAAGATTGATTCATTTGGTTTTCTAACAACGTTTGACAACATGTTTAATCTACCACGATGTGGCATACCAATGACAACATCTTCAACACCTAACTCAACAGCACGATCAATTAAAGACTTAACACCTGGAACAACTGCTTCAGCACCTTCTAAACCAAATCTTTTATCATTTGGGAATTTTGTGGATAAGAAAGTTTCGAAAGAAGTAGCCCAGACTAAACGATCCAAAATTTGTCTCTTTTGATCAACAGTATATTTGTAAGGTTGTGGAATCTCGATTCTTTCTCTCAACCAGTCACATTTTTCTCTTGATGGGATATGAATGTATTCAATACCAATTGTAGAACAGTATAATCTTTCACAGGTATCAATAACTTCTTTCAAAGTTAAAGAGGTTCTACCATCTTTAGCAAATCTTGGTAAAATACCTGGACCTAAAGTAATTGGTCTACTGAAATCAGCATCAGTGAAACCGTAATGTTCTAAAGTTAATTCCTTTGGAGTTGGAACAGATTTATCATCAGCAAACGATATACCTAGAGGGTCAATGTGAGCTTTTTGGTGACCTCTGACTTGATATGCTCTAACTAATAATTGAACTTTCAAATGAAGTAAAACATCATCATTGACATTAGCACCACTACTTGGGATGTGAGTAGCAACACCACCAGCTGGGGTTGGAACTAAAGTTGGAGGAGCACTAAAAGCTTGAGCTGGAGGAACATTACCATCCAAATTTTTGAAGTAAGCATTCCATGAGACATGAACTGAGGATGGATCTTTTTTCCAAGCATCATACATTTCATCAATATAAGTGGCATTTTGAGTTTGTAAAAAGCTGTCGGTTCCAGTTGCTAATGAACGACGAGCGATGAGGTTTGATGATCTTAGTTGATTGATCAATCTAGCACGAGGCAAGTTTGACCCACCACGATAACGTAAGGTCTTAAGCATCTTGGAGAAAATAATATTATTGAAACTCTTTGAATTGACTGGCCGCTGTGAAATATTTTGAATCAACGACTATAGTGATAATAGGATCTTTCTTCTCTTTGAAAAGGGAGATTCAATATACTGGGGGAAAAACACAAGGAGCAACAAAAGCTAATGAGTAAAAAAAACACAGATTCTAGGCAATTGGGGTTATATGAACATCCAAATTATAGAGATTTGTGGATCAGTTTTTTCTATCAAAAGATTGAGTATGGTAAGTATTTGAACTTGAATTTGGGATTGTTTTTGTTGAAGGAACAAATTTTGTTTTTAAATGATTTTAATTCTGACTTTTGGCGAAGATGAAAATTGACTTTCAAGGCCTAGGCTCGGACCTACACTTGAAAACTGCAAGGGCTGGGCTGAGACTCCCTACATAAGAGAAGGACTCAGACCGCAAGAATAAACCACAAAGTGGCAAAATAGTGGCGAAATTTTGGCTATTTTTCATTGTTTTTTTTAACTAAAATTGAGTATTAATATTTTGAATACTCTTTCTAGCTCATCATTGGAAATCCTCTTGTTTGTAGCTGTTTTTAATGTTTCGTGAGTCACTTGGATGGATCCTAGGAAAGCTCGCTTAGGACTACGTGGTTGTTGGTCCCAGGGCATCCATCGCTGCTGCCAAATCTGGTGCAAAACCTGGAGTACTACTGGCCAACGTATCAGTAGGGTGCTTTGGCACTCAGAAGCGACTACACTGGAAGGCCAATCAATACCCAGAAATCAATATCCTCGAAAATAATTTCCAATTCACTTTCTTTCATACATTCACAATAGAATTTGATATAACTTTCACCAGCCATAACCCAATCACAGCGTATGTAAATTTTATTACGTGTGTATTCCTTGTCGGCTCCTTGCCTGCCAGAGACTGAGACCCAACCCGGGCAACTGGCCCATCGAGCCAGACCCCAAATTTAGTAAAGGCAGACCCACATTTCGGGGCCGGGCCTGCCTAAATAAGACTTTCTTCGGGACTCAGATCCGATGGTGTTTTGATTTCAATTTGTGACATATAAACCTACAATTACAGAAGAGTACAAAACACAACAATTGAGTATATTTATGCTAATCTATCTAAATTCATAGAACTCATTATGACCATGAGTAAGAACTGGTGCCCTTTCACTACCGACAATTCTTTCCAAGGCCAAGGCATCCCATTTGGAGTACAATACTCTCACATTTGAAATGTTAAAATCAGCAATTCCATCATAAACTGATCTACCAATTGATGAAACCAACTCTGTGTAGAAAATTGGATTATTTGGAACACCATACATGAAAATATTCTTCACACCTTTTAGATCAAATCTTCTATAATGGTGTAATCTTTCAGTGTAAAGCAGAATTTTCCGTCTACCTTGTTGAAATAATGCTCTGGCTTTTGTCAAATCCTTTTGTTCAGAATACTCATTTGCATCAATAAACAATAATGAAGTCTTTTGGTGTAAATAGTTTTTCACTCTAACAAAATCATGGTATGAAGGAATGTAAATCAATAAACCATCTTCATAAGATGTTGACTTAGACAAAGATGGAACAATAACACTCTTGAAATGATTAAATCTTGCATCCGGTTCATCTAATGGAGTTGAGCTTTCAAATCTGTTGAATATTTGCCTTATTTTTAATCCAACTTTGAACATTGCACTTTCTTCATTTTTGACATTTTTTCTAAATCTATATTTCCCAAAAATATTTTCTGACTTTGATAACAAATTGTTGATGTTTGGTGTATTATATTCTGTGAATACCAATGTTTGTCTAAATAAATGTGCTTGATCATTGATACTCCACATTCTAACTCTACCAAAATCTGTATCATGCATTGCCGTTGGAATTTGGTTTGTATGCTTCAAAACTGTCAACATGTGGTCCCAATTTTGCAACTCAATAGCATTTGCATTATCAACAATCAACACTTCTATAGAACTTAGAAAATCAGTTTGTCTTTTCTTCTTGTCAGGATTTGTTAAAATTCTTTGTAACCCAATAGGTGACGCAAATATAATATCTGATTGATAAAATGATGAATAAAGCTTTAATGATTTTCTTGTAAATTTGATACCTAAACAGAAATGATCATTTGTATTACCTTCGAACAAATCCTGAAAGTCATCTGGTTTATTATCTGGTGGTGTGGAGTCTTCATAAAATTGAGCTTTGAATTTTTTCAAATTTTCAATTTGTTCAGCACCTGCAACTTTTATCATTTCTTCAACAACTTTATAACAATGGTTTTTTGTTGGTAATAATATCAAAACTTTAGGTCTTGTGAAACCTTGATCTCTGAATTCTTTTTCGTCTTCTGGCTTTAATTTACCATTTGCAATGTTCTCATTTTGTGTTGCAATTTTACTATTATTCTTCACAATACGATCTCTTGTCTTGAAGACATGGTTTAGACAATGCAATGTGTACAGCTTTCTGTAATCTTCTTGTTTCTTGAAATCTGCATATGGTAACAAGACATCTTTGTAAGAAAACATAGGGTCTAAGATCAGCTCAGCAATTTCATTATTTGTGACACTTTCATCATTTTTTTCTTTGAAAGGTTCCAAAATTCTTGACTTGATGTTATACTTGTCTAAATTATGATCCTCTGAAATTTCAGCGTACTTGGAGGATGACCCGACAGGTGGTAAGGAAACAATGCATGAGTAAGATTCTGAACTTTTCTTTGAATTCTTCCAGCGTTTTGTTTCTTTGAAAGCAGTAGTACATTCATCCAGGTATTTTTCTGAAGTTGATGCAAAATGTGAATCAAATGGATCAGTTGAGTTTTCATCATCTGAATCCTCTTCTTCGTATTCTTCCTCTGACTCTTCAGAATCCAGTGTTTCTTCATTTACAACACCTGTAACATGATCCTCACCTGACTCTTCTTCCTCTTCTTCTTCATCATCTTCATCATCATCTTTGTCTTCTTCGCTTTGGTTTTCATGAACTTCATCTTCATCCTCACTCTCTTCTTCGACGTCTTGTTCGGCACTCAACAGCGTCAACAAAGCATCATAGGCTTTACCTTTATCATCATTATCATTCCCATCAGCTTCCACATCACTTGCTTGAGTGTCATTTTGAGAGTCTTCTTGTTCCAGTTGTTCTTGTTCTTCAAGCTTTGGATTTCTCTTTGATGTTCTGGTCACATTTCTATACTCTTGTCTCCCTCTGTTTGTCTTTGCCTTCTTTACTGGAGCTGAGCCATGATCTTCTTGATCTCCTCTTCTTCTGACTTTCCTAGTTTCACTTGATCCCATCTTGACTGAACTGTGAGTCGTAGATGCTTTTTAACAATAATGGCTCTATTATTTTACAAGCGTTTAAATTTTTTTTATTTTAATGAAAATCTCATCGGTTCACGCAGCACTTATTTGGCAGATTCACGGGTATATTGTGTTTCTATTAAGCTACAAATTATACAACTAAATTAAGTGTAAAAACACTCATCTATTAATTTATTATTATGTTCAAGGAGTATCAAATGGTCCAAGTATTGAAATTATTGTTTTGTGATGTGAAAAAAAAAATAAGAGGGTATATCCTTATAAATATTATTAAATGCATTCATGTTCCGACACATGACTTTGATGGTTTCAGCAGCTGAAGGGGCTAGATTCCCTTTATCAAATGTGATAGACAGCTTATGATAAAACGAAAGCATATTTGGATTTGCCTCTAATCTTTTTACCAAATCTGAAAAACAAGAATGGAACAGGAATCAAAACAAACCCGACACAAGCTAATAACAAACCAGCCCAGTTTGTACCCATGTTATGGAACATTGCAACAGAAAACAATGGGAAAGCACATGCAAATGCAGCTCTTAAAAATGCATTAGCGGCCATAGCAGAAGCAGCAAAGATCAAATAAGAATCAATGATATAGTTGATTGATGAATTGAAAATTGTAATCAAACCAAAACCAGTGAAAACACCTGAAGCAGTTGGTGCCATCCAATGAACTTTGTTATGATAATTACCAGTCCATGTTAACCAAAAGATACCAACTGGGAATAAGATAGCACCTGCAAACATTGGGTACAATCTAGCTTCTGGGACTGGTTTACCACCGTTTGCGTTCATAGCTTTGATATAACGTCCTTCCATAGCATAACAATAACAACCACCGAAAACCATACCTAATGCAACACCAAGATATGGTAATTCTGCAACACCACCTTTCATTTTGTAACCTTCAGCAAAAATGATAGGATAAGCAGATAACAACAAGTATAAGATACCATAGATGAAAGCATTATAGATGGTAATTAAGAAAATGATTGGTTCAGTAAACAACATAAAAATTGGTCTTGTTAAATTCTTTTCCACAATATCTTTGAAAGATAAAGAGAATTCATCATGAGGAGCATGGATCAACCAATTACCAGTTCTTTGTTTTAATTCTCTAGCTTTGTTGACCAAAATGATTGGATGATGAGTTTCTTCATAGAAAAATGTAATTAAAACAACACCAGCAGCACCCATGATACCAGTAACATATTCAGTCCATCTCCAACCCAAATAACTGTAAACGATAAAAGAACCAGCAACTGGAGCAATAATAGGTAGACAGAAAACAGTCATTGAAAAAATGGTGATAGCTTTACCTCTTGAATTAGCATTGAACAAATCAGCAAATGAAGCAGGAACAACAACTAAAGGAGCTGCACCAATAGTACCACCGAAAAATCTACAAATCAATATTGTTTGTAAATTTTCAGCAGTGGCAATGGCAAATTGGAATAATGTAAACCCAAGACAACTTAAAATCAAAATCATTCTTCTACCGTACAATTCTGATAATGGGGCCCAAATAACAGGACCAGTAGCAAAACCCAAAACATATAAAGAAGTACCTAATGTTGAGACAACATTACCAACATGATATTGTCTAGCGACAACTATGGTAGCTGCTGAGAAAATTGAAGAACCCCAAGCAATACAACCAGTATTAAAACCAATGATTGCACAAGTGATTAATTTTTTCATCACTGGCCAATTATGAGGATGTAATGGATCGTCAGCTCCGTTATATGACACTGTGTATGGTTCTTTGTCTGGATAATCTGTAGGTATCACTTTGTTAAGACCCATTGGAGGCAATGGTGAAGTATCTTTTAATGCATCTTGTTCCACACTGTCAGCATTTGTTAAAGCTCTTGATAAATCTCTGCTGACTTCAGATCTTGATTCAACCCTTGACATCTCATCGCCAAAGTCTTCATCTTTTTGGGCAGCTTCAACATCATAGGCATTTATATCTTGTGGAGAGTCAGCTTCTGAGCTTGACCCACTTGTGGAACTGCTACTGGAGGATGTTGTCTTTTGGCCATTAGCAGTTGAAGGAGCAGTTTGTTCATTGAAAGTTGAGTCACCAGAGTGCTCTTGCACTGGTTCTTGATTGTTGGCGACGGTTTCTTCCTTTACACTTCCAACCATGTTGAATTTGTGATTTGATGGTGATTATTAGGAGGATGGGGCTGAATAGGGAGTATGCTGGAAAAATTAATGGTGGATTGTGTCCTGTTTATATGCTTCCTGCAGAATCGAGAAGAAAAAAAAATTAAGCTTTCACTTTTCTATTTCGAGGAATTTCTGAAGATCGTTAGTTGGAGTTTACGCACGGGACACGATTCTGCACTAAACCCGACAGCACAGATAGGCTGGGAATTGGCAGTGAAAGAAGGTAAGAGTGGACTATAAAGAGTTCGAAATTGAAAACGGTTATGATTTTCCTGAGTTTATCATGTTTATTACAAGTAGAAGCTGCTTTTTAGAATGTTTCAAGTCCATTATCCATCGAAATCCCTGTTCACGGTGGACGCTGGGAATCCCAGGCCTTCGCGGACATAATGGATTTTACGTTTGGTTAGTGTTTGGATTCTTCCCAAAATGGACGTACCCGATATCTTCGGCAAACCGTTGGGCAGAGCAGAGCTTGACAAGTTGTTGGAACGAATGGTTGAAGTGGCTGAGAAGCTTTTCATATTGATGTCTATAGGCTCATGGTTGGCACCTTGTGTTCCTATGAGAGCTCCATGAAGATGTGTCGTATGTAATTCCTTGAGGTTGAGCTGGCTTAACACGGGATTGATGATAAGATGGCCATGGCCAGAAGTTAGTCACCATTAATTGACTCATCACTGTACTTTGTAGCTTTGAAATTCAAATCTTGAAGAAGATGTCAAGCTTTGTCATACTTCTTCTATTCTGTTCAAGTGCGATTTGCTCTTTTGTCAGGTCCTGTATGATGGGAATCTGTTAGTGATTGTGCGTGGTGCACCATTTCTTATACACTAGAATAGGCTTCCCGAGCCCTGGGCCCTGCGCATTAATATTCAATTGAAGTAAACATGGGATTGCATAAGTACTATAGAGCTATAAACAGCCTCATCAAAGTTACCAGCTTCGACTGTAGGACTTTCTCTAAAGCGCACTACCAGCTTGAATAAAGGTAGCTTGACGGAAATCGTTTGAATTTCATTCTTATCCAAAGTGGATCTAAGCTGAAGCTTAAAGCTTTACCTCATGAGTACTTTACTAGCTTCTCATGAATCACTTATGTTTGAAATGCTGTGATCTAGCTAATACTAGCTGTCGCTTCACCGGTAGACGATCGATTAATGAAACTAATATAGCAGCTCATGATGAACAGTAGATTTCAAGATCTAACCAGCATCATGATCAGGTTTACAGTTTATATTGATCACCTCGAATACCAAGCACTCTAAGTTTTTGCAAGAACTCATCAAAAGCGATCTCATTCATTTTAGCAGCATCTTATCCAGGTTTCATTAGAGCCACACGGTAAGTTAAAAAACTGCATTTTGGATTGGCTTCGTTTTTGCGCAAAAGTAAACAAGACCATTACTAGACTTAGTAATGCATATTGGCACAACATCCAAATATAGTAAGATGATGCCATTTAGGGCTGTTTACATTTTTTTTTCGCAATTTTTGTGTAAATAAACCACTTTCATTCACTTCAAAGTAGTCAAATGATCATAAAACAAGAGAAAAACGAAAAATAAAATAGTTCTAGTAGTTAATGATATGCACATCTAGGATATGGTGAAGTTTTTGTACTACGCTCAGCTTTGTGTAAACAGCTAGGCTGGTGGAAAGAGGAATAAAGCTTCAAAAATACATAAAAAAACATCAAGGCAGTCGGTAGGGCCAGCGAAGTCAAATCTCTTCGACGAAGCCAAATGGCTTCGGTGATTGAACTTTCGGCTTCGCAGTTCCGGTCATTTTTTCGCAAAAAAAAAAGAAACGAAGCTATTTCACGAAGCCAAAATGCAGTTTTTTAACTTACCGTGTGGCTCTATTTCGTTTATGTGTCAAATTTTCACCTGTCGGTTAGCGTCGTCACAAGTCAAACACTTCTCGTACGAGAGGCCTCTGCTTAATTCCGTGAGTGTTTCTTTTGTCAGCGCAAGACCTTCGGCCAGCGGAACGTAACGTTCCCGATAACAGCTTACGTTCCCAATTCGGAATCTCAAATAATTTCAAAACTTCGCGACTTCTGTTTTCGGTTGAGTTCCCAATGCGGAAACCAAAATCAAAATTCTTGTTGTTTGTCTCATTCTTTAAAAAAAAAAGCTTCAACTGAAATCATAACTGAAATTCTAGTCAGGAAGTTGGAACACTGTTATTTTTTCGTTGTTACATCTCCAAAATTAAATTAATCGCTTGATTTTATCCTACATTTCAATATATTTCAAAGCTCCATATTCATTACCATCACATCATTTGAATAAGGGTGGACGTGGTGATATTTCAAAAAGTTTAAAGGTGGTTCCATATTTTAGAGGAAAACAAAAACATCATCAAACGACCAACTAATTTGTACACATCAACAAAATTTCAATCAAGCTTTTGATGAGTATATTCAATAGCAATATCATATAATATAAAAGAGTCCAAAATGACAACGTCAACGTTTCATAATATCAAGTCAACACTTCGTGCTGCATTAACCACGTTTTATATGGTTTTAATCATCTTGACAATTCCAATATCATTTCAAATTGGTGGAGTTTTTTGTGGTTTAGCATTCACAGTGACATTATTCAATATATATTGGGTATTAACAACCCTAAGTGTTTTGTTCAAAAGAAATATCATACTACAGGTTCTTTATTATTTTCAACATTTATTAATACCAAGTTTATTGACATTATTTTTATCAGTTTTCAATAATAACAATATTGATTTATTGAAAAATGACAATTTGATATATTATAAGTTTGTTTTAAAACCATGGAGGTTTTTCATCATAAATTCCACACCACTATTTACATTATTGGAAGGTTTATGTACAATATTGGCAATTCAATCAATTGGACAAACTTTTGAATGGTTGAAATATAATAAAAGTGAAAGTTGGGTTATCATGAGCTTATTAAGTTCAGGTGGTATTATTACAACTTCATTATATTTCCTTTACAGAATATATTCATTTCCAATTGAAATTTCTATATTATCAGCTTCATTAATTGGTGCAATTTTAACTTTTTGTTCAGGTTTAGGATTATATGGGATCATTTCTAAAAAAGGATCCACAATTGAATCAAGTTTATTATTTGGTTATATTGTTAGATGTATTTATGAAACATTCCCAGAGTTGTCAAATTTAGCATCAAATGAAATTGGATTTTTAATATCAAGTGCAGCAAATCAATTGAAAAATGAAATCAAACATTTACCATTAATTGTTAATAATGATTCATTAACTCATTTATTTTCATTCTTAACATTGAATGTTCCAAATTCTTTCCAAACTATTATTGAATTTTTAATTGCAACATCAAAGACAATTACACCATCAATTTTGATAAACTTGGCATATAGAATTGCAGTTTTCTATTCAGCTACAAGAATAATACCAGCGTTAAAGAATCCAGTTCCATCAACCAAGAGTATGAGATTGATTTATCTATTCAGTCCATGTATTATAATTGCAGTTTATACACATTTGATGATGCAGTATTCTAATGAATTGGATGAAGAATTATGCATATGGGGATGGTGGATAGACCAAGCTAAAAACAGTGGAGGAGATCAAGTTCAAATCATAGTACATCCATGGCAATTTTGGAACTGGATCAATATGTTTAGTACGTTATGTGTTTATGCTTTTGAGATATTTGGAGAACAAAGTGAAGAGGATCATTGGAAGGTGGAATAAAGAGAGAGAGGTATAAAGATCAAGAGATGGATAAAATTACATGAGCTTAGTTATCAATGCCTTCTATTATTATACATGGGTCCTTGAATCTAGAGATAACAATAGGGGTGGTGTCTGGATGGCTGCATGGCAATTTGGACAGGGCCACATTACCCTGAGCGATGAGGATGATGCAATAATTCAGGAATCCCTCAGTGAATAGAACCCAGGTCATTGGCTTTATGAGAGTTGTATCGGTGCTGTATAAGAGGGTATTCAGGCTCAATTAATACCGTAATAATAGCTGCATCCATAACGAATAACGAGTGTAGACGCGTGATAATGACCCAAGTCACCTGACCCCGGTACGCGCCGCACAGCCAATCTAATCAGTCGAGCCCAGTCTAAAAAACGTCCATCGATCAACAAACTTCAACAATCGAATCAACGTCTTCAAGAGAAGTTTCAAGAAAGAAGAAGAAGAAGAAGAAGATAGTATAAGCCGTATACTATAATCACGCTCATTAGACCAGAAATATCCACCAGAGCATCCACTGCCCGGAAATTTCACCGCATCCCAGCTGCTCTCTCATCTGCCGATACTATCGTTGTCATCAGCATCCATCGACAACTGAAAAGTCATCCATTCAAACAACAGGCACAAGATCGAACACAACAAGATTCAACAATAACAACCAGGCGCTTTTAGCATCAATAGAGATTAAATCATCAAAGCTGAACACTATACACAAATCGCCCATCACAAAGCGCTGAGTTTCCCACAAGTTTCCCATTTTTATTTCACCTCATCTCATCGCATCGCATCCCCGGTCCAGCGATCAAGCCACCATTTTTGAAGGCAACAAACTCAACAACAGCAACAACAACGACAAAATGTCACAGATATCGTCGTCTCCAGGCGCAGACGTCAAACTAACTAGAGTGTTTTCAAGAACACCTTCCTCTTGGGACCCTCAAGATGACCTTCTGCTGCGTCATTTGAAAGAACAGCAAAAATTAGGTTGGAAAGAGATCGCGTCCCATTTTGCTCATAGAACTCCAAACGCGTGTCAGTTTAGATGGAGAAGATTAAGATCTGGTTCTTTGAAGAATAGTACAAATAGTCCTACACCGACAAGTGGTGCCAATACTCCAAACTCTAGTGGTGTTGCCGCTTCGAATTCAATTGCAGCTGTTTCATCAAATGAACAAGATTCTTCTTCAAATTCAGCTTCACCACCACCAGTTGCATCTTCAGGACAACATCTTGTCACCAAATTCTCATCAATACCAAATAAGAATAACTCATCCTCTCCCAAGTTGAAAGAAGCTAAAAAGACACAGCCTATTAACGTTCCGGTTTATAATCAATGGACTTTTCATTCCTCGAATTTATCATCTACAAATTTGACATCATCGAAAACAAGTTCAAATTTCAAAGATTCTCCAGATCCATTATCTTCAAGTTTAATCTCTTTACATTCAGATTCTGATGATATTGAAGATGATGATGAAGACAGTGATGATAAGATTAATACAAGTGCAGTGTTATTAGACTCAACAATCACAATAACGAAGGATAACTCACCAAGCAATTGGACAATGGAGGAAGATGAATTGTTAATAACAAGAAGAAGAAGAGCCCTAAGTTTTGCAGAGTTGAGTATATTATTACCAAGTCGAACAGAAGATGAGATTTGGTCAAGAATTGATCAATTAGATAAAAAAACCAAGACAAAGAGATCGAATTCTTCAAGATCTCATAGTCATCCTCATCCATTACATACACCATCTCATCAATCTCCAAAACCAAGCTCATTCACAAGATCATATTCTTCTTCATCACAAACTTCAATCTCATCAAATAATCCATTATTATCATCATCAACATCCAATTCAACTTCAAATTTCTTTTTAACTCAAGATTCAACAAGATCGAAATCATTCTCCTACATCACACCATATATCCAATCAACAGATCGTTACAACCTGAGAAAAAACTCAATAACGAATTCAATCCAAGAATCAAGTCGAACTAGATCAAATTCTTTCCTTCAACAACCACATCAACAATCCACAACGACTCGTTCTTCAATAATTTCAAATGAACGATCTTTGAAAAGGGATGATTCGGTATCAAGTACCGATTTAGATGAACATGATCAAGGACTTAAAATTGAACCAAAATTACCCCCGTTAGGCTCAATATTCAATGACTTATATACAAGATGATGAACAAATGACTATTTTTCACGATAAAATGTTATGACTAGGTTAGCTCTTTTTTATATATTTGTGCTATTACACATTGGCGTATTACTTTTTTTCCGAAGGCTCTACATGTAGTTTCATATGCAATTCATATATGTATTCATTTCAAATCTTCATAATATCATAAGTACTCACTAATTTAAACACCTTTATATTTATCAGCAGTTTCTTGAGCCTTTTGAGCAAACTTCTTTTCAGCATCTCTCTTCAATCCACCAGTTTGATTAGCAGCCTTATCTAAAACTTCTTCACCATCCTCTTTCAAATCTCTTGCAGTCTCTTTAGCTGCATTGACATTTTCATTACCCAAATGTTCTCTGGCTTTAGCTTCAACACCCTCTTGACCATCTTTTGCAAAAGCATCTTTAACATCCTTAGCAGTCTTCTTTACACCTTCTCTAACGTCATTGTATGAAGTATTTGCAGCATCTGTCTTCAAATCACCAGCTACGTTGGATTCATTATGGATCTTATCTTTAGCATTCTCTTTGACGGCTTCAGTGGCTTGTTGTGTTTTACCAATACCTTTTGCTGCAACTTCACCAATCTTGTGGTTCAAATCATCAAGTTTTTGTTTGGCATCATCCACTAATGAGTATGATGGTCTTGTTGTGGTGAAAGTACGAATAGTAGTTGCACGGGTGATTGGAGTTCTTAGGATTGTTCTTAACATCATTTTCTGTTCTTATTGTTATTTGATCTGATGAATGTCTAGTAGATACGATTGTTTGAAGAGACTTGGGGGCTCTATTTATATATTGTGTCAAGGAATCAAGGTTAAAGCAAATTGCTTATAGATGATTGCTATTAGCAAATTTTACTTTGACATGACACTACAAAATAGTTTTTAGCAACATGACAAAAGAAATGCACAAATTGAAATTTCTTAAAGATTCCATGCAGACTAGCATCATTTAAATCTTGTTTGGTAGTACTATCAGATCTGTAATTATCATGTTGGTTGATTGTGGAGTCTTAAAAACGTTGAAGATGCTAAATCATGACGAATCTGGGGTTGGGCTAAACGGGACTCGAGGAATATCAAGACCTGTAATCATAAGTTTGATACACACTAACAGCCTGGTGATTATTATGTTTCTTTCAGCTTCTTGCAATTGTCTTTATATCAATCTCTGTTGTGCAATTCTGTATACACCTTACTGCCATTTCTCGATGTGTCAAGAATAGTCTACTGTGATTTTTTCGCCTGATTATCATCAACATCGATAAACACTATCAAAAAAAGACAAGCAGTATTGATCTTAAACCTCATTCCTCGTTCATATAATGGTGTTTCACATAGCGAGAGGGATAAGACACAATTCTAATATTGCCACACAACACTTGTTTACGGCAAAATCAATTCCTAAAACAGCAACAACTCATCAGCTTTTACAAGACCTTGGTTTCATCTATCAACCTTCTGCAGGTTTAATACATTGGTTGCCATTAGGTTTAAAAGTCTTGAAAAATGTGGAGAATATAATAAGGAAGCGTATGGATGAGATTGGTGGTGAAGAGTTTAGCTTGAGTTCTATAAGTTCTAAAGAATTATGGGAGAAAACTGGAAGATGGTCAAATACCGAACTGTTTAAATTACAATTGAATTCTAAAAAGGATAAAGATTTTTGTTTAACACCTACTCATGAAGAAGAAATTACAGAAATTATCAAGAATGCAAATTTGAATTATAAGAATTTACCAGTTTTAACTTATCAAATTTCAAGAAAATATAGATTCGAGAAAAGACCAAGAGGTGGTTTGTTAAGAGGCCGAGAATTCTTGATGAAGGATGCATATTCATTTGATAAAGATTATGAAAGTGCGATGGAAATGTACAATAAAGTCAATGATGCATATTTTAAGATTTTCCAAGATTTGAAATTACCATTTGTTAGAGCACAAGCAGATTCTGGTGATATTGGTGGTTCTTTATCTCAAGAATGGCATTATGTTCACGAATCTGGTGAAGATTTATTATTCAAATGTGATCATTGTGGTGATGTCAGTAATGTCGAAAAGACGGTCTCAATCCCTGATGAAGATACTCCAGTCGCTAAATCTGCAAAGGTTGCTTATATATTGACAAAAGATCAAAATACTTTAGTTTGTGCATATTATCCTAGTGATAGAACATTTGCTCCAAATTTTTTGAAAGATCATGTTGAAGACCTAGACTTAACCACATTGAACACATCATTTGAAGAATTGATGAAAATTTTCATCAAAGATGAAGATGATTTAGTGCTAAACAAAAATTTCATTAGAGTTATGGATTCAAGAATTGATCATACTACAGACTTGCCAGATTTCCCAATAACAAAGTTTCAAAAAAATAATTTCTCAACATTAACAGATATCTCCATTGTTGAAGCTATTGAAAATGAATATTGTGATTCTTGTGAAACTGGTCAATTAAAATCAATGAATGCGATTGAGGTTGGTCACACTTTCTACCTTGGTAAACGTTATTCTGAACCAATGGGTGCAAAATTCACTAATGTGGATAATAAAATGACCACTTTCGAGATGGGTTGTTATGGAATTGGTGTTAGTAGAATTGTCGCTGCTATTGCTGAATTATCAAGAGATGAAGAAGGTTTTGTTTGGCCATCTAGTATTTCTCCTTATGATTTGAGTTTAGTTGAAGCTCCAAAATGTAATCAAGATCATGTGAATGAAGTTGTTGAAAACTTGAAAGATTTGAAAATCTCTTTTGATAAAAGACAATTGAATAAAGTTGGATTCGGTGCCAAGATGATTAATGCTAGGATGTTGGGTATTCCTATAATCCTTGTGATTGGTAAAAACTATCCAATCGTGGAGCTTGAAGTTCGTGGTAAACGTTGGAATGAATCAAAATCTAAATACAATTATCAAGAACTTTATGAACAAAATTCAAAAGACTGGGAATGGCAAATCATTGAAGATGGAAATTTTGAAAAACATTTAGTTCATAAGGATCATGTTGAGAAAGTTATAAAATCATTACTCAAAGATTTATGATAAAAAAAATACCCTACTATTGTACATAGTTTAACCAAAGAAAAAAAACAATAAAACCTGTTTTATAGAACCTAATATACACACCAATTACCAAATTAATTATTTTTGTTCATCGTTTCCTTCTTCTTTATGTCATTTGGTTTTCAAAACCTATGAAGTGAATTTACCAGTCAATTTTGCAATAACGTGTAATGCGATAACACTGAAAATGAAACCAACAGCTAAGAATAAAACAACTAAAGGATCAACTCTTAAACCTTGAGCTTCATCAGTGTATAATTTCAAAAGGTTGGCACTTGAACCACCATAACCAGCAGATCTTGTGGAGGTTGGTTGTTGAGATTGAGCATTGGCTTTTGCCTTAGCATTGTTACGACGTTTTAAATCAGTACGTTGACCACCTGGAGCTGGAGAAGACTTGTCATCAGTTTGTTAGTATTCTGTTATACTTGGAACAGTATCAATGCAATACTTACCATTGTCGAATATGGTTGAAGCTGTTGAATTCTTTTGATGTGCTCAACCAGAGTATTTCATCTTCTACGATTGAACACGTCTAATTTCGACGAGACTCAACTATTGAGACCTCGGTTATTGTCTACGTTTGTACTACAAAATCCACGTGACTCAACACAATTCCGACTTACATGTCACCCGGTGTTGGAATCTCTTGTTGAACCGATGATCTTGGCAGCTGACTGATTGATTCAAACATTGAAGGTTCATATAGGAAAGTCATGACTTTATCTTCAAATTAAATCAGCCTCAATTCAAAAAGCCAAACCTCACTGAAACACGCTAGCACAAAAGGTAGAATCATTGGAGCTATCAACCAAAAAAACAGAAACATAACACCAACATCACAAAGACATATAATAAACCAATTTCAGGGCATATCAAAAGCACAGATTGAGTATGGAAAGAGAACCAATATATGTCATCATGAAACCCCTATTTCATTTAATTTCACAGGTTTAAGTATATACTAACCATTCATTACCATTCACAACCGTAACTTGAAGGAGCTCATGATCAAAAAATCTTTCAATTCAGGAACTTGGTGAGATGAATTATCAATTCTAGAGGAATAGTGGAGGTTTCTTATCGAAACTCATGGATAAAGACGGGAGGATATCACTAGTTGACCAATAAATCATGGAATCTCATCAAAAAGGAAAACATTTAAATTCAAGCTGGACTCAACCTAACTCAGTGAACAAATTAATGAACCAACCACAGCACAGCACAACATGAATTCAACAGGAATGGTAAAGTAGCTCATTGGATAGAAGTACCAGCTTGTAAGAAGAGTTTTGAGCAGAGTGTTCAAATTACAAATATCTGAGATATCCTTTTATGGTTATTCCTGTTAATTCCCTTTTGTGTATTTCGACCACAAAAGCATAGATTTTCTATGTTTTCTCATGCTTGACGTCCCCAAAAAAAGACCGCATTATTCTGGATTGGGCAGCAACGATATTCTGACATGCCACAAAACCGTTCATTTTCAACATATATACGAGCTGTAACCTTGTCGGCTGACGTAGCCACATCAACTCTTTTTGTGTCACAAAAACAACAATCTTAGTTTTCGAAAAAGTGACACAAAAGCATTAATGCATGTCTACAATGAGTACACAAAACCTCCAAGCTGGACGCGCTTGTATCGAAAGTTGGAAGTGCGTAGATTACTTTTAGCAATGAACGAATAACACACCTTCCAGACAACTGCTGTAAAGATCTCAGATTTATCTTGTAATATCTCTTCAGTCGACAAAAATTTCTATCTAGTAATGTCAAAAAATCAACAGATTATTTCACCCAATTAGGAAGTAGCTTTGTATAGAACCAAAGCAGCTATAGCCAGTTGCTTTGATATTGTTCGTTCAAAGAACCAAACAACCGGGAAGTATCTAATAAGCATTAGAATAACAAATAGTGACTGAGTATTTGAATAGCAACACTTGAATTCTCATCGTAGCGATTAATCAGTATCATTAAGGGTCCTAAATCCCAAATCTGAGATCTTTATTATGAGTAGTACATCTGTGTACAAAAGTTCTCTGGTTTCACTAAACCACAAAATTTCTGTCAAAGTATCAAGCACGATTCCAAACGTCTATAAAAAGAGTACATCCTTCCCAAGTTTGCTTGAACAGTTTCCTCTTCTTTTGAATCATCTATCCACTCGTTCACTTTCAATTGAGAACATATCTGAATAGTCCAAACAATCAAAAACAACTTTTTGCTATTAATATACCACCCAACCCAACCACAATGCCAATCAATATTGCTACCAAAAACCAACAATGTATGTCTAGATCACCAAGAACAACTCCAATTGACTTGACTCAATTGAACTCTCTGCACTTACCAATTCCGTCTTTTTATGAAACTAATGTCCAAGACGAATCTTCATCATCTAATTCCAGCACAGAACAGAATGTAAACCAGCATGTGAACAGAAATTTTTCATCACAACAAGTCACACCAAGCCATGAAACAACCCAACAGAAAACCAATCCATTATCTGTTAACAATGGTGGAAGAGTTAACAATTTTTCTGAAATTCCCTCCAGGTTGCCTGTTAACATCCCACCAACTGCAGTCTTTGCTCCACCATCTTCAAGATCTAAAGGAAAACAACAACAAAATCAAACTGACGATAGTAATGGTTCAAATTTTTTCAAAGATCTCACTCCCATGGTGATCAAACCAGGCTCCAGAAAGAGAAGAAATGAACCAAAAACTCCAACAGTTTCATCTTCTCAACCAGAACCTAAGAAACAGAAATTTTCAACAGAAACCAATATTGATGAGGATGTGATTGAAGCAAAGGAAACAGATTATACTGATCTTTCTCAACAGGCAGCTGTGCTTAATGAGTTCTTTGGTTTTGACTTGCAAGAACCTTATGAAAAGAATATTATAGATAACCTTACTCATTTAAAGCACTTGCTCGAACAACAAACAGAGCAAAACCGGGATCTTTCTGAGGAAATCCAACGTTTCCTAGATGGTGAAGATGAACATATCCCAGAAGAAGCGAATGTTGTTATAAAAGAAGCTGAAGGGGCATCATCATTGTTAATCAACCAAGAAGCCTTGGAAAGACTTGATGAGTCCATAGTTGAAGCACCTCAGCCATCTATAGTCAATGATAACCCATTCCAAGAAGGGTTATACCAAGAACCTATTGTGGAGCCTCAATGTGTCAATCCAGTACTCGTCAATAGAAATCCATTAGTTTCACAACATTATAACTTTGTTTTCAATCCAGATCCTGAACTTGATGATGGATTGAGTGGATTATTCAATCAAGACGATAGAAGCTTTGGAAGTCAAGAAAGTTTTGAACAAAATGAAGGAATCCTTGGTGATAATACGTTTTTTGATACGTTTTTTGATTATGAAGCTGCTGTTGAAGCTCCAGTTCAAGTTGAAGAACCTAGAGTCAATGAAGTTCAAGTTGAAGCTATTAATGAAAACAACGATGATGAACCTGAAATTGAAGAGTCACGCCCACCTTATACCGAAGAGCAAATGGATCAACTCTTTGCTGAATTATTCGAAGGAACCGACTCTGGCATGGTTCAAAATCATAGGGATGATGATGGATCAAATGGTCAGAATCAACCACACTTTGAGGTTGAATTGCCTTGTCCTTCATATGTTGCAGCTAATGATGATGATGATGAAGAAGATCTAAATACTGAGCTTTGTGATGGTGAAGGTAATGAAGATAGTGATGAAGAGGATAGACATGTTTATGGTGGAAAAACAATCCCTGGATTTGCTCGTAAAAGCCCTTTCAACTATACCACAAGCCATAATAATGAGGAAATCAATGATGAGTTTGAATTGGACATTGAAGATCATGATGAAATTGATAAATTGGAAGCAGAACTTCTTGTAATAGTTAATGATGCAGAAGATGAAGATGATGATGATGATGATGAAGAGGAGGAGGCTTATGAACTGGAATCTGCCATCTCAGAAGAGTTATAAGGAGGCCAGTGAATAATGACTGGGACCACAGGTCTCTAAACCATTTTTGTATAATACCATGAATTTTTTGTATAGTTTATTTTTAATTGAATGTGAATTGTGAATAGTTTACGTTGTATTTTGGCTTCAAACTTCACCAATTCAGAATATTTTGATGGTTCGCGAATTCATCTCAGAAAGTCTGAAGGTTGAATATTGAGTATAAAGATATCTTCTCATAGTCTCATGGGTTAAATGATTTGTTATTAAATTGGGATGAATTATTCTATTTCATTGGAACAGGTTTCTTCAAGTTCTTAACGTTGAGTTGGCTATTCGTTATTTGGAATGGCTAAATCCACATAGGACCCATATAAAACCACTAGCACCAATCACAGAATTACCACCAGCAATAACTCTTTTATGCCTATATAATTGTAAGATATTGGACCTTGTATTTACAATGATCTAACATGAGTTATTAGTCCACTGAATCCTAAACACTCGTAGGTATTCCCATAGGCTATTGTAACCTCAAATGGCTGTAAACCCGATACAAACGGTTGACAAGAAGCTCATCATCTTCACCAACTAGACTGATCTACGCCTTCACTCACATCACATACACTTGATGCTAATAGTAAGAATCAGAGCTTGCCATCACTCTTTGACACTCAGCTATCCTCTCCTTGTCAACCTCTACCCCCTCAACCTCGACACCCTCCGTCTAGACACCCTGTGATTCAAGAGCTCATCATCAGCTCATGATCCTACTGGCTCGTGTCCGGTGCGTGTCTGTACCACACAATTGACCTCGAATTAATCCTCAAACACATAGACAATACCATATTATTATTGAATATATAGACAAATAACACTCAGTTAACCATGTTTATCCAATAATATCATACCCTTATAATACTAAAAACATGAGTTATTCACGCTAAAAGTGCTGTTGGTAAGTGCCACACTCAGCCTTATTTTCAGCTTTTTTTCATTGGTGAAATCCCAAAAAAAAAAAAAACCAAAAAGTCGCCGTTAAAACAAAACCAGTTGAATTTATTGGTACTTCTGGATTCTTTTTCACTTCAACACATTGAAATCCATTCATCGCTAATTGAACACAGCTTGGACAACTGAACACTACTGGAGCACACTCTATCATCAGCATCAGGCTCAGGTTAACTACTCAGTTCGCACACATAGAAAGAAGGCTGATTTCAATTCGCAGAGAAAAGAAAAAAGGAAGGAAAAAAACCTGATTTCTTAGGAAAACAACAACAACAACAACAACCAACGAAATTAAACAACAGGATATCAGAATAGAAAACAACAATCGAACTCATTCTGGCTATCAAATCAAACGCTTCATGCACTGATACATTATCATAGAATCAAAAGGCAAGGCGTGTTATAATTTCAAACAAACCAACTAGAGAACATTTTGAAAAGCAAAGATGGATCTAAGACAATTTACAACAACTCCAAACAATTTGGACCAATCAAACAACCAAGATCAAAGACGTACTTCAGTCTCCTCTTTATCATCATATGCTTCATCTGCTTATGGTGGACAGACTCCAAATAGTGCAAGATTGACTTCATCTCGTTATTTTGGAGTTTCAGGTGGTGGTGCCTCTCAACCAGGTACTGCAAATGGTCAACAACAACAACAACCACAACAATCTTCAACTCCAAACTGGCTATCTCAGCAAGGTATGCTCAATGTTACTCCATGGATTGAACAACAACAACAAGTTTCAAATTCAACCACTTCAATTGAAAATCAAAATTTTGTCAACAATTATGGTAATAATTTAAATCAACAAAATTTGACTCTTCATAATTTACCACCAAATTTACAGAATTTAGCTGGTAATAATAACAATAACGGTGGTGTTTCAAACTTGCAAAACTCTCCATTGTATCAACAAAACAATTCAACAATGACAACTTATGACCCTCAATCTAATCGTGCATCTCCAGGTTCTTCTCATATCTTACCAAATCAACATCAACAACAACAACAACACCATCGTGTTGCTAATCCATCTGTTGCTGGTACTGTTGGAGATTCCAAAAATGATGATTCTAATGTCAACAAAAATAACGATGATGATAATGAAACAACAAATGAAAATAATGTTAATGAAAATGATGGAAATGAAAACGAAAAAGATGATGATGAATTGATTCCAACAGCCATCGTCATCAAAAACATCCCTTTTGCAATCAAAAAGGAACAATTATTGGAAGTTATGACCAAATTAAACTTGCCTTTACCTTATGCATTCAATTATCATTTTGATAATGGTGTTTTCAGAGGTTTAGCATTTGCAAATTTTACTTCAACTGATGAAACAACTTCAGTTGTTAATCAATTAAATGGTCGTGAAATTGGTGGAAGAAAATTGAGAGTTGAATATAAAAAAATGCTACCATTGGCTGAACGTGAACGCATCGAACGTGAAAAAAGAGAAAAAAGAGGTCAATTAGAAGAACAACATCGTTCTGCTTCAAATGTTTCTTTGGCTTCTATGATTAGTGTTGCTTCTGCTCCTGCTGGAGTTAATAAACAACAGCAACAACAAGGTCAAAGTCAAAATCAAAACCAAAATCAACAATTACCTCCTCAAGTTCAACAACAGATTCAGCAAGCTCAACAATTGCAACAACAACAATCACCACAACAGGTTCAAGGTCAACAACCACCAGGTTTATTGTCTGCTTCCAGCTCTCAACAGCAATTGGTTACTCCATTACAAGCTCAACATACTGGTTCTGAAAGATTTTATGCTCCTATCCCTTTCATTAATAATTTACCAATTCCGCCTCAACATGTTGATTTTAATGACCCTGAAACCTTAGAATATTATTCACAATTGTTGTTTTTCAGAGATGATAAAGATAAGTTATATAATGAAATTGCTTATCCATCTTCTTTATCACAAAACCATAAAAGAATCATTTCAATTTTATCTGCATTCTTAGGTTTAGTGGAAACTTATGATCAAAATTTGATCTTGGTTAAAAGAAGAACTTTGATTCATGATCCTTCTCCTCTATTGAGATCTCAATCCCATTCAGCTATCCCATTATTAAACCAACAATCAACTGGTGGTGCTAATTCTTCACAAAGATTTAGACAACAAACAACTATTCCTCAGCCAACTTCAACAGCTTCAAGTAATAGAATCCCACCAAATTTCAACTTGGGTTTAAATAATGCGTCAAGTTCTGCTTTATCTTCAGCTGCTTTATTGAGAAATAATCCAACCCCAACTAGAGTTTTACCAAACTTGTACAATCAACAACAACCATCATCAGCATCTTCTCAACAGCAACAGCAACAACAACCTCAATCTCAACCACAACAACAGAATTACTTTCAATCTCAGCCACTAGCTCAATCTCAATCTCAACCAACTACACCAGGTTTAGATTCGATGTCAAGATTTGCTCCATTCCAACAAGGTTTAACTGGATTGACTTCATTGCAACAATTTCAACAACAACAAGCTCAACAGCAACAACAACAACCTTTTGGAACACAATCACATCATCAATCACAAACAAATTTGCAGTCATCAAATAACAACAATAACCAAATGTTTGTTGATGATTCTTATGGACGTTTATCATCTTCATCCAATTCTAGTAATGGTGGTAATGAAACTCCAGGTGATATTAGTGATTCCTTACATGGATTGACATTGTCACTGGGTAATGAGGCTCAAGGTAGTAATTCACCAAGTATTTGGGGTCCAAGATCTGTTCAACCACCTGCTATTTAGAGATGTGCTGATGAAGAGTAATGGAATAAGTGATAGAGAGAAGCATCATTTACGTCAAATTATTTTTTTTCAACATTTTTAACAAAAACAACAATTTTTTTTATTATCAAAGATATATATTCAACCAAATCATACTTTATTGATTCCACGTTTTTCATGACCCTTTGCTTATGTTTATGGATATATTACGTTTTGCATTTCACATTTTTATTACACTTTAGTTTTTTTTATAAATGGATGAATGTTCATCACAATCATGTTTTTTTTCAATGAATGGCTCTTATGTTTTTTAATGATGTGTGTTATTTTTTTGTTATTTTATGATATGACAATTGGAGTCTTGATTTGTTTAAATTGATTAGATGTTCTTAATGAATGGGAAAGTGGTTTTTATGAGATGCTATTCATTTTTCCCAGTCATTTCATCCAGATTGTATAAAGAAACTAATTTCAACTTATGATTTTGCTTGTGTTATCAATACTTTTTTTTCTCATACAATTATTATATTATATATACAACTACATTTTTATAATCCTGATGTCATTATTAATTATGATTCTAATTGTAGTTTAGTTTAATATCTATTATGATTACGCATTGCTGAGTCAACATTCGCGAACTTACCCAAATTTTTCAAAATCCATTTTTTTGAGCTGCTTTTGTCACAGTTCAAACAGGACAATAAAAACAAATTCAAGATCATTCAAGATCATCAACAGATTCCATACTTTATCCAAGTCAACGTTGGTTTTGGGCTTCCATACTCTAAACTATTCAATTGAACAACAACTGCTACTCTCTTCAGGCTGGTTACTGGGTTAGAGCACAAGAATTGACATTCAACAACACGCGAAAGAAGAGCGCGCTATCTCCACGAAATCTGATCAACAATTACTAGATTGGATCCATAAGTTTTGTGATCTTTATACTTCTACAGAATTGTTGACCTCATGCTTTGTGAAGACTCATGGCTTCAAATAAATCAAACAGCATAGAGCTTGATCTAAATCAAGAGGATCATAATAGTCAAATACCCAATGACAACAATAACAACAACAATGAAGATGATGAATCTTCGAAAGAGTCAACGCCTGAAGAAGTTGCAAAGGCACGTTTCAGAAGCAGACTGCTGAAAAGTCTGATTATTCCAGATAATAAGACATATGACGAAGTTCATGAGCGTGCATTCATGGATCTAGAAAGTGGGAATAGTACTCCAAGAAGTTTAAGAAAAAGAGAAACTGTTCAACATTATTTTTCATCACCTGTCGTTAACAACAATCCTCATATTAATGAAATTGGAACAAGGTCAAGAAGTAGGACACCTGATGTTGTTGCACCTCTACCGAAATTGGTTTCAAATAATCCAAATGTTCAATTCAATAAAAATCAATGGAAGTTTGTTATAAAGATTAAATATCCCAACACCAAGTTTTTCCAATTTAGAGAACCTTCACCATTAGGGAAAACTGAATTCTTGGAAATATCTGATCATGAGATGGATGATTTTAATGTTAGTGATGAAGATCAAGATATTGAAGACTTTGAATCAGAAGATGAACTACCTTACAGAGGTGCTTTGAGTAAAAGCGAAGCTTCAAACTCTAAAAGTTTACCTACAAGAAAAGATAGATTATTGTTCAAGCGATTATTGAAGAAATCAGAACCAGAAAGAATAAGAAATAATAGTTTAATTATAAACCAAGATTTTATCAAAGACGATCAGCAATCTAATTTACTCAATAACAATTACTCACAAGGTTCCAAAATAAAGTATATTCATTTCAGAGATAATGAGATAAAGACTTGGTACACTGCACCGTATCCAGAAGAGTATAGTCGGAATAATGTGTTGTACATTTGTGAACATTGTTTGAAATATATGAGCTCAAAATACATTTTGCATAGGCACAAGTTGAAATGTGATGTTTTCCATCCCCCAGGAAATGAGATATATAGATCTGGTGAAAATTCAATATTCGAAATAGATGGTCGGAAGAATGTTATTTATTGTCAAAATTTATGTTTATTGGCCAAATTGTTCTTGAATTCTAAAACATTATATTATGATGTTGAACCATTCATGTTTTATGTTTTAACTGAGCTTGATCCAATCACAAACCATCATCATTTTGTCGGTTATTTCTCCAAAGAAAAATTGAATTCAACTAATTATAATTTGAGTTGTATTTTAACATTGCCAATCTATCAAAGAAAAGGTTATGGAAGTTTACTAATGGACTTTTCTTATTTGTTATCCAAAAGAGAATTCAAATCTGGTACTCCAGAAAAACCATTGTCCGACTTAGGTTTATTAAGTTACAGAAATTTCTGGAAAGTTAAAATCGCATATGTTTTGAAAAGCTTGTATGGTGAATTAGCTGAAGGCTCGGATTTCAAAATATCAATATCACAATTGTCAAGTTTAACAGGTATGATTACTTCTGATGTTATTGTTGGATTAGAACAAGTACATGGTTTGCTTAGAGATCCAGTCACTGGAAAATATGGTGTTTGTATAAACTTGGACACTATTAACAAAGTTATTGATAAATGGGAAGCCAAAGAATATGTCAAGTTGAATTCGGAGGCTTTATTGTGGAAACCATTGATTTTTGGACCTTCATGTGGTATAAATCAGGTTGGATCATCTGTTGAGACTGTTACAAGGCAGAAGGAATTTGAAAATGATGAAGATGTTAAGATACCAGATCCATTGAAGGACAACATAGCAATTTTAGCCAATTTTTTAAAAGACGATTTAGCTGACCCAAGAGACATTGAACTACAAACTTTAGAAGAAGTGAAAGAGTCTACCAAAGCCATTGATGTTGATTTGGAAGATTCCAAAGAAGAGGTTATTCCAAAAGATCGTTATGAACCATGTCATCCAGGTATGAGTTTCAAGAAATTGTCCAAAATTCAACACAAGAAGAGAATCATACTGGATGATGAAGAAGATGATAATGGTATAACAGCCACAAAAGTGAAGAAACTTGCTAAAAGAAAAGCTGTAGCTAGTGGTAAGCCAACACCCACAGCTGAAGAAGAGGCAGAGGCAAGGTTACAACTGAGAAGATCGTTAGATGCTATTCATTTGAGTATGTCGCTGGATGGTAGAAACAGCAGTTCAGAAGATGATAGTGACTCAGGCTCAAGTTCCAGTTCGGGTGGTGACAGTGAAAGTGAAGAAGATGAAGAGCTGAGAGATCCTACTGCTGAACCAGAAGATGATTCAGACTCAGATAGTATTGAACTGCTTGGAATGGAGACTGGTATTGCAGATTACCAAGAACTAGCATCATCCTCATCAGATGGCTCGGAAGATGAAGACACGTTCCAAGAGGAAGATCAACAGAATGCAATTGATTTGAAGAAGCAAGGGTATAGACATAGTAGAAGAATTCAATCTAAAAACTTATCACAGTTACAAAACAGGAGAAATTTGAGAAGGATTAATAATTAATTTAATGAGTATGAGATGATTTGAAAAGTGACATCTGTTTTGTTTAGCTCGAGATGATTGTATGTAATATTATAAAAGGCATTTTATGGTGTGTTGTTGAAAGCGTAGGTACTTGTGTTTTATTTTTTTCGTTGTTGAAGAAACCTCTTTGTTCGGTGCATTATAAACATGTCAACAAAACCAAGTAATGAACATCAACGAACAAAACTGATGGGCCAAATTGACTTGAAAATGAAGGCTGGTACGCAAACGCAAGACGTGCCTGATGTTTGTACACCACGGTCCACGCTCAACTTTTCAAGCTTTTGAAATTTTTGGCCTTGCCCAATTCATGTTTAAATTTTACCCAAAAGGGAAGTCGTATATTTATTTTTTGGCCCTTTCGAAGATCTAAATTTGGAGGCTTGAACATGGTAGACACGGTTGTTTCTAGAGAGCAAGTGTGAAAACTCTTGTTTTCCTTACGCTTTAGCAGGAATATCACCTACATTGAATTTTGATCATCTTGAAGAATCTTAAAGTCTTCGATCTCTATCTATTGTCTCCAGGTTGCAACTCATTTGTTTTATCCGTTACGCGTCTCGAAAGTGGCCTCAAAGCGCGTCTTCGAAAATTTATACAGGAAAATTCAATTTTAAAAAAAAACAAGCTAAAACTACTGAAGAACCCTTTCATTGAGGATTATCACTTCTAATAAACCAAAAGTGCTTCTGCTGCTGGCTCACAGGATTAGATTTAAGGCTCAAAATGGATGCTCACTCGGTTTCTTCCAATGGTTATGACGAGAAGGAGAACTACCTTCAACAATCAGACTTTTATTCCGTGGATGCTGGAAGAATAGATGGTTTAAAGAATACTTCATTATCCATATTAAACTCCAAAAAGACACACAAAACTCATGCTCAGAAACAGTTTCAACAGTATCAACAACATCAACTGAACCAGCATCGCCAGTCACAATTTAGACCTCTTCAGCAAGGCCCATATCAACAGCAACAACCTCAATATGCTCCACATCCGCAATACTTCAATACCATGGCACCTCCTTCAATAAGACCACCTGGTGCTAGATCTATGCAATCTTTGAATTCAGTGGCTTCTTCAAATTACTCGCAAGGTGGGCCAAATCCACATTATCAATCTCAACAACATATTCCTCAAATGTTGCCGCAAGGTGAATGGGCAAGTGGTCGCATGTCACCTCCAAAATCTCCTTCTTTGAGATTAAATTCCATATCGTCTAACTCAATGCAATTTCATGCTCCACAACAAGAATATAAAAATATATCGCCTGTGTTGAGTCAAAGTGAATGGGATAGACCTTTTCAGGATGAAAGAATTAAAGAGTTGGAACTCGAGAATGAAAAATTACTAGATGAGAATGAAGAATTGAAGCAAAATGTTGAGTTTAAAACAAGAGATATAACTAGCGATAATGATCGTTTGAAAACACAGTTGAGTACTGTTCAAATGGAGCTGAACAAATTGAAACTTGAACACAATAGTTTGAAAGAAACTCACAAATCAGAAGTGAAGAAGTTGAAAGAGAGAAATTCAGAACTTCAAAATGACTTAGAGAGTATGTCGTACATGAATGAAAGATCAAATGAAACCACTCCAAATGGTTCTCCAAAGACTTTGGGGAAAGAATATGAATCATTAAACCCTGCTAATACAACAACACTTCCTGAATCAAGTAAACATCTCCAGCAAGCTCAATCAAATTTGGAAAATAATGAACTTGTTCAAGATTTATTAGAAACCATTAAATATCTGAAAACTGATAATCACATACTACGGAACCAAAATGATGATCTAGTCACTAGAATGATAAAGGATAAAAAATATATGCAAAAACTTGTCAATTCATCAAGATATCAAACCAAAATAAGGAAAGGTTTCAATGTGTTGGAAGCAGTTGACACGTTCATATGATAGATACCCCCAAAATTATACCCAGTTACGACAATACTCAAGATAGACAAAACGGACAATATGTTTTATAATTCACTTTTTTTTTATATCAATTACATATTTATAAATTTTCAATTAGTTTTATTAAAAAAGTTGTAAAGAAAATGATCTTTATCTATTACCGTGTGTCCCATAACATACATTTCGCGAATTTTCTCTCCTCGGCCGCTTTATCGAAGAAAAAAATGAATGAGTAAAAAAAGCTGGAGAATCATCAACAATAAACAAAAAAGGAAGCCTTGTTTTCAACCAAGAAGTAGTAAAGAGTCAAGCTAGAGAACTGCTGGTTAGTTTTCAATTATAAAGAATCTTTCATTGGCACCAGATATTTGCACTAACGATTATTTTGTAATCCTATAAGTTCAAGTTCCTGGAGATCAGAATCAAATCATAACTCAAGAGTATTTTATACAGTGCTCAATAACATGTCATCAGCACCAAGGCCTAAACCATGGGAGGTGACCTCGGGTACATCAGCAGCAGGTAAGTCAAATTTGCTTTCCTTTACTCTTTAAACACTTTACTAACAGTTTCTTCTTATCAGTCGCCTCTGGACAATCTACAGAAGTTCCAACTCAAGCAAGTTCAGCCACATCACATACAACAGCAGATACAGAGCCTTCAATACCTGATCGTCCTGTCTCGCTAACTAATTCAATGGCGTCAACTACTTCTCCTTATTCTTACGGCGATTCCTACGGATTGGGGAGTGGACTTGGAGGTGGTTATGGTGGACTAGGTGGTTATGGAGGAAGTTATGGAGGAGGTTATGGAGGTTATGGAAGTGGACTTGGTGGAATGGGAGGATATTCTAGGTATGGTTCAGGTATGTATGGTGGAATGGGTGGCTATGGTGGGATGGGTGGTTACGGTGGTTATGGTGGGATGTATGGACAACAGCCTGGTGCTATGGGTGGTCCTGGAGGTTTTGCTGAAAGTACGCAAGCCACTTTCCAATTGATTGAAAGTATAATTGGTGCATTTGGAGGGTTTGCACAAATGTTGGAAGCTACATATATGGCTACACATAGTTCTTTTTTCACAATGATTTCTGTTGCTGAACAATTTGGACATTTAAAAAATGCACTAGGTTCATTTTTAGGGATTTTTGCATTGATAAAGTATGCTAAGAAGCTGTTGGCTAAAATCACAGGGAAACAAATCAAAGGTCTAAAGTTAGATGCTGAAGAGTTTTCAAAATTTGAAGCTTCAAGAGCATCAGATGCTAGTAAATCACCATCTAAGAGAATCTCATTAAAACCTTTATTGATCTTTTTAGTAATGGTAATAGGTACACCTTGGGTTTTGAAAAAATTGATTACACATTTAGCAAAGCAAAAAAATCTACCTTTACCTGGATACCCAAATCAGATTGGAGGTCAACCAAATCAACCACTTGACATGAATTCCATTGAATTTGGTAGAGCATTATACAACTTTGTGCCTGAAAACAAAGAAATTGAATTGGAGTTGAAGGAAAATGATTTGGTCGCTATCTTATCAAAAGTTGATCCATCTGGTAAGCCTAGTCAATGGTGGAGAGTGAGGTCAAGAAATGGTAAAACAGGTTATATTCCATCAAATTACATAGAAATTATTAAAAGGAAACAACAAGGTGGTGAGGAAAGTAAAGCAATTGAATCAGCATAATCATTTCAGTAAGGTCAGGGACGTACTAATATCAGCATTTGAAAGAGTAGGTTTTATAATATTCCATTTCTTTGGTTTATTTACTGTACTTTATTATCCGATTGTAGTATTTTATGATAGTATCTAATCTATTATAACAGGATCATGCATAGTTGATCCAGTATTTTCGAGCTCTCCAATCATCAGATCATCAAAATCATCATCTGAATCAAAATCACCAATGTTGACTTGTTTTCTGTGCTTCTTGTGTTTCTTGTGTTTAGAATGTTTATTCTTGTTAACAAAAACATTATCCAGATCATCGTCATCAATGGCCACAACTTCTTGATTTTGAAATGGAGATTTCTCTTTCACTTCACTCACAATCCAATCTTCACTAATCTCTATACTCCTCACAGGTTTTGGTACATATTTCAATACTGTAGTCATAAAATCATCATGCATGAGTTCACTAGGGCAAAACTTGATACTGCATAGAGGGCACCTAACAATCCACCCCGGTTGATATTGTTTGGTTGTTAAATTTCTTGGGAACAGTGCACTCTTATCTTTCGTGTGAACAACTTTGAACAGCGTTGGACTTTTCTTTCCTTGTTGGGACAGTGTAACCATGTATTTCTTCTCTTTAGCTGTAGCATTATTGAATCTAGTTTGCCTTTTTCTTGGACTATCGGTGACAGTAAATTTTGATCTAACATGATTAACAGCGGGAATTACATCAAATTTTCCACTAAATGCATAATGCTCTTTTTCATAATAGTTTATAATATTGTTAACTTCACAGAAGCTTTTAAGGTCAAAGCATTCAATATGCTTGCATCTAGCGGACTTCACACAGTGTTCAATTCTTTGTCTTGATATTATATCGAGACATGAGACGACTGTGTTCACAACTTGAATATCTTCTTCGTCTTTCGCTTTGTTAACAGGCTTTGGCAATTCAGCAACCTTTTTCTTGGTCAACTTTTTCCCATTTCCATTGACTGTTCCATTTGTATTCTTTGAAGTTCGATTTGTGTGTTTGATCCTGGCCATGAAGTTCTATGATGTTGATATTGTGCATTAATGTATCCACTGTGTGTTTCTCTATCAGGTGAGCTGAAGTCTTTTTTTGAGGGGCTGTATAGTAAGTTTCAAGGCGCTTGATAAGCCTGTGGTGATTTGAGTAGTAATCCTAATGAGTTATGAGCCTCAAGGTCAATAGAATTGAATGCCCTCCGGTAGGATTCAAGTTACTGTTGTCTGTTCGAGATCAAAAAATTAACATCAAGTGGGTTCGCGAATATTAATTTGGATCAACATGAGTCTGAAATTACGTCTAATTTGCAACGAGTCCAGAGCCTCGACGATACTATAAATCATAGTATTTAAATGCAAGAAGTACAGTAATAATATTGTGAATTTGGAAATTGAACTTATTATAAATCATGGATGGGAAGTATATATAATTTTGTTTTTTACTAGACGTCGTTCGATGTATATTTGATGAACTTGGATGAGGAATATTGCAATTACGCACGAACCGCTTGGATTGTAGGCTAATTCAGCTATTAAATTAAGCTAGTGGTTCAGTCACCTTAGAATCAACTAATTATAAACAAATTACGGCCATTAGGACTTCATCAAGAAAAGTATTAGGCCGGCGAATATCTTTAATAATTGGTGATTTTCACAAATTTTACAATTGTAATTCCAATTATAACAATGGCCAGCTTTTTAGTTCATTATTACTTGTTTTTATTCTGATTTATCCCTTTTATTATTATAAATCATGAGTCATAGAATATCAGTACTCGATGAGTCCCCAGCTGTGATTTTGTTATAATATTAACTAGTGCATTATTTTAGCATTTTGAAAATACACATCAGAATATACAATATTAAATTAACTAAATTAATTAATTAAAAAAATTATATATATAATTATAACAATGGCCAGCTTTTTAGTTCATTCTTACTTGTTTTTATTCTGATTTATCCCTTTTATTATAAATCAGTCATAGACTGAGTCCCCAGTGATTTTGTACATTATTTTAGCATTTTATAAATACACATCAGATACATTAAAAAAAAAAAAAAAAATAATTTAATGTGAGACGTCATATATATAATTATTATAACGACATATAATATACCATCTGGAGTCTGGAGATTTCGGTAATTAAATAGCTGAATTCCAGTACAGTTCAACAGCTAATTGCAGTTAATCAAAATGAATTATATATTCTAATTAATGGTCTACTAGTGCTAGACGTCGTGAGCAGCTCACGCCTACCATTTTAACGTCAATTTGGGCGCTTTTAAAAAAGCACTAAATTCGCGCCTTCCTATGTGCTCTCTACGCACTCCTGCAATCATTTTAACACTATTTACACCTTCTAATTGTTGTTTAACGTTGTTTTATGACCTGAAATCAAAAGGTTATACTTGTGTGAAATGGTACAGGCACTCTAATCGCGAAGTTTTTTTGAAAATTTCGAGACAAGAAGTGATTAGAATTCGTGTTTTTACACCAAATTCAAACAGAACACAAGGAGATATTCAGTTAATCTTCTGATTAATATCAATATTGTATTTTATTTGGCTGGTTATTAGGATTGCACTAGCTGGTTGTTTTGAGTGGATGTTGTTGTTGGTTGGTTGGTTGATTGGATCATCACTGGCGGTAGTACTACTGTTAAGGTAGTTGGTTAATATAGGTATTTTGAGGCCAAAATACATGTGTTTTTGAAGCCAATTATTTGTAGAAGATGGTTTTATGTTACTTGGAGTGTTGAAATAGGTGAATATCATTGATTATGGTGGTTTTATAGAAGTTTGTTTTATTGAAGGTTTGTATAGTGGATTTTTGGTGTTACGGGACACATTTTCACGTGACTAAATTCTGTTAAGTATGGTGAGGATTGGAAATTGGAATAAAACGTTGGGTTTTTGAGATTTTGAGCTTATTTTCATTGATATAGAGGGAAAATATGATGGTGCATATGGTCAAGCAATAGTGGTGGTGATAGGGGCACTTGGTGCTGGAGTATTTAATGGTTTTGTTAAGCTGATTATGGAGAATTGTTACTGTTCAATCAGTTTAAAGATATTGATGAATTTTACTACATTGGA